AATCTCAGCTCAACAAAGTGAAGAAACCCATTGTGAAACGACATGATCAACAAGTGAAACTGGGCAGAATGGGAAGTTTTCCTGTAAGGAAAAAAAAGAAAATCAATTTTGCGCTCAGCCTTATGACCCCCTTTTCAACTGCTATATGGCCCCCTTGGAGGGGGAGAACCCCCAGTTAGGAACCGCTGGTGTAGACAATGTCGATGATGCCGGTCCTTCCATCGTCTAACATGAGTAGCTTGTTCTGGGCGAAATTCGCAAGTAACCGTCCCGTTAATATATAAATACAGCTTTTCCACCACAAAAACATGTTTTTCCATGTATTTTATTTTAACTTTCATTGTAATACATAGTTACGTATACATTACATTCCAACTATTTAAATAAAAGCCAAAGTGTAGCTAGCTAATGATACATTAAATATTAAACAGTTGGCCGAGATCTGCCCTGATGCTACTTTTTCCAGTTTCAAACTTTTACTTTTGTTTGCATTTTCTTGCAGTATTACTATTATTCTTTGATAAATAATGCAGATTGCACTACAAGTGCAAAAGTGCAGTGTCCACAGAGCTCATTAATAAATCGATGGTCCAAGAGAAAAGATCGAAAGTCGAAATTAAAAAAAAATATCTTCAAAAAATTTCAAAATAAGGTATTTAACTATACATATATTAACTTACGGATCTGAATGATCAGTAAGTCTAGCGGTGGAGCAATAAAAGGTTGAATATAAAACCCTACCACACATACCCAGTGGGTTACAACCTTTTCGGTGGAGCGGTAAAACTTTAAACTCTCATCCACCAAAGTATCTTAATATTAATGGCAAATCTAATAGGTATTTGATTATACATATATTAACTTTCGGATCTGAATGGTTGAATGATCAGTTAGTCTAGGAGTGGAGCAATAAAAGGTTGAAAATGAAACCCTACCACACTAACCCAGTGGGTCACAACCTTATTGGTGGAGTTGAACTCCAATGAAACATTCCATCGAGGAACCCTTGTCTTATCTGAATTGTATAAACCAGGGGTGTGCAACCAAATGTGGCCCTCGAGGGGGAAAAAAGCGGCCCGGGAAACGAGTTTTTAATTTTATCTGGTACTTGCGAGTAATTCCAATTCATTGCGTTGCGGAGCCTATACTTGAATCCAATTTATCAATGCCTATGACGTTACAATGTCCTAACAGCTAACTTGTGCAAACAACGCTTGTCACAAGATCAACAACCAAAATTTTTGTGTCTGCAATTACTAGAAAGCCTATGTTGATGTGCGGCCCGCGGTTTCACCCAGTAATTATTTCTATCTCGCCCTCTTGTAAAGGGTTGCACACCACTGGTGTAAATTATATATATATATTTATATTAAAAGCAAATCTAATACTGGTAAAACAAAACGATCTTTAGAGTGTAAAAAGATTTTAATGATATTACCAATACTAATAGGTATTTGACTGTACATTTATTAACTTTCGGATCCATATGGAAACTCCTAAACTTGCAGTCGGAACTCCAAAGTGCCGCGAACAATGATTGAAAAGTACTGCACTCAGTGGCGTGTCAAACTTTTCTGCTGACCGGGGCGATTTACTGATAATAAAGCCCTTCATATATATATAACTACTTAAAAAAATAATTTTGGGGGTAAACATATTATAAATGTTGTTATACATAGAATGAATAAATTAACGGTGAAGTAGAAGTTAAATGTTTGTAATATTATTATGTAAATCAGACTATGCAACCATCTCACCCCTATAACGTACTGCCCGGGGCGGCAGCCCTTTTGCCCCCCCCCCCTCCCTCTAGACACGCCCACTGCGCAAATCTCCGAGTTCCCACGCTCAGCCACAACGCTCCACCACTCAGACAGAAACTGCAACAAACCCGAGTCAGTAACAACATCACCCAAAATAAATCTTAACTAAAAGCTTCTTACCGCACGACCGCATTTTGAAAATGGAGGGAAATATTTTGAGCCGATAATTATTGTACGAAGTCAATACGTTTCAGCACTTAGCCGTGACGATATTGCTAAAAACGTTTATGGGTAAATATCCGTTATTTGTGATGCCCAAAAGAATTTGGTTTGAAAAATCCGCTATCTCTATCCGAAGAAGACGCGTTTTAAGAATTTGAATTGATTTTTTGTGTTTTTTGACGTATTTTCTATTATATATTGTACTAATGAATAGGAGGTGAGATTTGCGAAAATATGACTATACTATAACAGCGGTTCCCAAAGGGTGCGCCGCGGCGAAATAGTTAAACTTTGAAAGGTCTAAAGTACACATTAACGATCACGAAATTGAGATTTCTTCAAAAGTAGCATATTTTCGTGTAAGTGCGCCCTGAGTTTTTTCTCTGATAATTTGGCGCCGCACGAACAAAAAGTTTGGGAACCGCTGTCCTATAATATCGTGATATCACACTTTTGAGCACAAGTCACTAAACCCCGGGTCAAGTCGAGTCACGGGTAGGGCTGGGCATTTTCGAATAATATATCTGATGAATTCAGGATCAAATTTTTTTTTCGAATCTCGAAAGATATGTAATTGTATTGATACATAAATTAGTGAAAATACGTAATCTATCACCCAGACAGTTCGCCGAGTGTTCACATACAATAAAATACATGTCCAACAATAATTCACTAGGAAGTAAAGAGTCATATGTCAGAATTTCATTTTAAAAATGAGTAAAAATAAAGTGAGTGATTCATCTCGATTTGCGGGCGGATGAAAAAAATGAGATGGCGGCGATTGGAAATTCTCGTCTGAACCGATTTGAATAATTACTATTCGATTTAATCAATCAATCAATTTTATTTTGGTCACTCTTAAAGAGACAAACGGACAAATAAAATGCAGGGGACGCGGAGGACGGGCATAACTTAATGAAAAAATTTAAAACGTACTCAGAACACAATAACATGAACCCACGATATAAAATACCTTGAAATCAAAAATTTTCAAAATGCCCAGCCCTAGTTACGGGTCATCCGAGTATCGAGTCCGAAATACTGGTTCAAATCTGAGTGCGGTTAGATAAGTGTGTTGTATTGAAAAAACTGTCTCCCCCTCCCTTTTGGGCTGGCTACGCCCTTTTATGGCGAGGCCTTGCGCTTAGCTGAGCTTGGAAGTTGTAGAAAACATCGATAGACCAGCGTGACGAACAAAATAAGTGTTTCCCTCCACCAACACAGCAAAAGTTTTGGGTAAACAAACGCCCAAAGGTCTTCTTAAAAAAGAATAAAAGTAAAAGCTTCAAACGTTTTTTAAGTTAGGAAAATTGAAACTGATTTGCTGTAATTGACCAGTTTGCGTGTTCATAACCGGTCAGCCATGCAGAGGCGTAGCCAGAATATTTTGCGCCCGAGGCGAACTATAAAATTGACGCCCCGTTCAATCATATTTTCTATTACATTTAATTGTACATGTAAAAATAATTCAAATTTTATTGGAACATTTTATTTAAAGAAGAAGCAAAGCTATACAAAATATAGCATATGTCCATAACAACCCACTCGGTTACTGTCAAAGACGATTTACATAGTCTACAATAAATTTATTTTTCTTGATTTCACTGTCGCAAACTGGTTAAGCACGTCATCAAAATCTGTTTTTCCAATGTTTCTCTTTCAACACTTAGAACAGAGGTCGCCAAACTACGGCCCTCGGAACAATATAATCCGGCCCGGGACGCTTCACTGAACTGTATTAACAAAACAACTGTATTGACGATTATATTCTTTACGTAACAGAATTTGTTTTGAGACACTAAATTATATTATAATCTAGCAAGTATATAATTCACAATCACTCGTTTAAATTGATTATTATTAGACAAATGGCAACAAAACGTAAAAAAGTTGATGCTGAGTGCAAATGCTTTAATGGCGCAGAAAATGATCAGTCTTCGCGCGCTGCTTGAAATTTAACTGAAATCTGTGTGAAAAAAATGTGATTCATTGGCCATTCCCTCGCTTTTTAACTTTCTAAAAAATATGCGGCTCGCCAATGACTTGCAACCTTTAATTTTGGCCCACGAACGACAAAAGTTTGCCGACGCCTGAAATAAAAAACATCACCGAGACGATCCTGTCCCATTGATGCACGCGAATACGACAAAATAAGTTTCAATTTGTTGAAAGACCGTTCACAGCTTGCTATTGAAACTGGTATTGTTAAAAAAATTTGTAGAGAAATTCGCAGATTCGGGAAATATTCGTTTCCAAAAGACACAATTAAACCAAGAAGAGCCAAAGGGGTTTCTGGTTGACACCGATGCATCAAACTGAGTTGTAGCGATGCCGTTGCAAGTTGCGGTCATTATAAATATTAGGCCCAGGGCTTAGTAAACCACACTTTTTACGAATGCCGTTGCCAGGCGGGAACTGAACAATCCCTTGCCACCAAAAGTTAGATCTGCGTCGTGGGCTACCTGGAAACGATTAGCAGCTTACCACGTGTTACTTAAAACATGTATTACCAGCACTTCGCTGTTTAACACCATTCAAACAAATTCTGTTGCTTTTAGTCTCCAGCACAGAACTAATATATATCAATATACATCGGAGTGCGGAGGCAAGAACTTATCGATACAGAACCACGTAATTAACCCCGTGCATTTTGTTACCAAATCAATTTTTGCTTCGTTTCTTGGTCCGCTTTTTGGGCCATGTAATTACGATGGAAATCTGACCGTGCGCGAGCTATGTGCCTGATGACGTCGGCGGTCGAACAAGTGTGCAGTTGGCCATGTAGCCTACCAAGACTAGATGTCTGCAACCGGTGCAATCCTGCTTGTCACGGTTTATTACCCTTGTTGTGAAATTTTTGCAAGCCCCATTTTGGCGCCTCTGTACCTTGGCGCCCGGGGGCATATGTACCCCATTGCCCCCCCCCCTCCCCCCCCTAAGCTACGCCTCTGCAGCCATGCAATATCCCATAAACACTGGCTCGACGGTCGCTTCCACTCAACTCAAATACTTGGACAACATTGAAAACAGTCTTTAATATCATTCGTAAATTTTTACTTTACGAAAATAGAACTTCATGACGAAGCATAGAAAAGTTACACAAACACAGCTTGTAGTGGCCAGTCTCCATCTCGAGAAAACGCAAGCCCCAATTAAAATAAATTGGAGAATATTTGGCGGATAGGACCCATTGGACAGCACATTTTGGAAACCGCATGGATTAAATAGAGGACGTTCCAGAAGTATGTGTACCAATATGGAAGTAACTATTTTTGTTCGCCTAGTTTACATCAAGTTGTGTAAAGGGACTGAAACCTATGGGCAGGGGTATATTCACTTGGCTAACACAAACAGTCCCAAACTCGTAATAGAACTAATATAAGGGGAATCTGAATAAAATTATGCCCTAACCTGGTACACATACTACGGGAGTACCAAGTAGAAATATATAATATAAAATAGAGCTCTGGTCTGAGTGGTCTCTCTTGCAATTTTTCAAATATGCACAGCCGAGCCTTGATGCGGCCACGATACGAACTCTCAGAGTTATTATTACAAGATTCAAAAACTGCTGCTTCATGTCTCTGCTGCCTCTAGTGTTGGTTTCGGTTGATTAAACAATTGATGCTTTATTACTTGTGACATCAGTCCATGAATTGCTTCCACTGTTAATTTTTTGCTAAAAACAAAAAAGGGTTATATACATGGCCTGGTCGTATCACTCCCTCCTGTCTATACCAAATTATTTTATTTTTATTATTTTATTATTATGATGACCGCTATTTTATTTTGGTTGACGAAATTATTAAATCCCTCTCTCTTTCTCTCATGGATGTCCAAGAACGAATTTAATATTTGAATTGATTCCACATTAGTTATATCCGGTATTTTGAATCAGGGGTATGCAACAAGCGGCCCGAGGGCCACAACCCAGCCCGCCAAGCCATTTAGTGTGGCCCTTGTCAACACTCAGGTTTTTTTTCATCAAGCATAAAATCCTAAACCCAAGAGGTTTATGTTTGAAAGGTGCTAGCATGGATAAAAATACAATGTTTTTTTTTGTTCTTGTCACTGCGTTTAAAAAATTCGTTGTGTGGCCTGTGTATTTATTTCTGCAAGGCTATGCGAGGTCGCATTCTCTTGCCTTTCCCGCTAAATTTTTTGTGTGGCCCGGCTAGTTGTCTGAAGTTGGTTATGTGGCCCAACGACAAAAAATGTCGCATACCCCTGGTTTAAATTATTGATTTCAGGGATTTTTTACTTCACATTTGAAAAATTTATCCAATTAAATCACTATACATCTTAACTGCATGCGTCAAAAACTACTAAAACCCTTGCTAAATCATTAAAAATCTTCGTAAAACATGCAATATCAGTGAAAAACCTTGCAAAAATGTGCAGAAATCGTCAAAACTTCCGAAAACCACCAAAAGCCTTGCAAAAATCGCTACAAAAACACCATAGAGATCTCTTCCAAATGACGAACACGACCAGAAAAAATTCAAAATTTTAGAGTGCACTAAAAGTAATAGATAATTCCGTTGAAGCAACCCCTAAAATTTGCAATGAATTTTATAAAACAATCTCCATTACCTGTCCTTTGCAGCTTTTGCAAGTTTATCTTCTGTTCTTCGGTCATGCGTATCAAAAGAGTAAATAGAACTACTGGAGCGTGACAATTGCGTTTCCGCCTGTTCCAACTTTTCAGATAAATCAAAGATTTGGCCAGTCATGTATTCCCTGTTCTGTAAAGGAAATAAAGAGCTCGAAATGAAATAAATTTCTATTTTCTACAATCTCATTCCAAACCAGGCCTGATATGTACCCCCTATACTTTGGAGATCTTGTTGAAATAAAGAGCTCGAAATGAACTAGTATTTGAGAACTTACAAAAAAAATTTCCCTTCAGGGCAGCCTATTAATGGATTTTTGATGTTCATGAATTAAATCCATCGAAACATAAGGGCTCCATGCAGGAAAAATGAAATGAAATGACAAAAAAGGATTAAAGGATATATTTATGGCTGTACTCAATATTGTTTACTTCTGTGCAAGTGCGCATGATGTAACCATGTTAAAATGATTTCAATACCAATTAAAAATTTCTTTGTTTATTAATAGTTGTTATTGTGATCGTAGCTCTCATTTATCATACAATAAAATTTATTTAAACTTACAATTGTTATTACTATAAAATCAATCGAGCGGAACTTTTTAGAGACATTGTATAATACTATAGCTTGAAAGAACGGAATTTTTACACTCTGGGTGGGGTGTAACCAGGGGGGAGAGGGGGTTTAAGGGTTGTAACCCCCTTTTTAAATGTAAAACAAGCATTATTCTGTATTAAACATATCAATTTTTCATAGCTCAAAACAGACTCCACCAAGCCATCGCTAGCTGTTACGACCTAACTGGTTAATTGGAAATTTCAAAACCCCTATTTGAAAATTTCTGACTACGTCTTTGGGTATGATATTCATCTAAAAAAAATAACTCACTGTAATCAAACTTGAGCTACTCAGCGTAGAAACCCAATATTTATTCCACAAACTTTCCAGCAATCTTTTGTCCAATGACGATTTGAAATATGTGATCTCGAGAGAGTAGTATTGCCTGGAATGTACAAGGTTATACAATTATTAGTTAAACATTGGTAATACTCTATTTGCTGATGTCAGGACAAAAGATGCTTTTGTCGTTAAACAATAAAACAGCGGCTTTCAAATCATCACTAAGGATGTAAGTGTCCTTTAAAAAGGGTATAACTTGGGTTGAAAAGCTTCTTACTCCAAACCAGACTTTCAGATAGACAGGTCTACCAATGAATAGATATTGCGTTTTATGTTTTTTCAACACCTAAGCCTCAAAAAAGACTCGAGAACCACTGATAATTATCCACCTACTATTTTTAGACGAGAGAGAGATTTATATTTTGTCAACTGGAAAAACGAACATTGTAACAATAATAAAAAAAAGGATACGCGAAGTTTTTTATTATAGACAAGGGGAGCGAAACAACCATACAGTTATCAGAGTCAGCTCCTCACAATAGCTATAAGCATTCTGGTTTACTGTAATCTACGTTATTTATTATACTCTGTGACAGCAACATTGTTAGATTCAACATTGGGGACCTGTCCCCGTGAAAGTGAAAATCTTGATATAATTTTGCACTGAGCTTTATATAAGTGAAAATAGTAGATGTAGTAGCGTTAGGAATACGCTCGTCACTGAACCTCTGAACACCCTGCGTGGGTTCGCAGGTTCGAATCCTGTGCAGAGTTAAATATGTGCCAGAGGATTTCTGTACTCCTCGCCGCAGCAGGGTGGTTCACGTAACCACTGGTTGGTTACGGTTTCTTCCACCACCAAGTCCATATGAAATAAATAACTGGCCAACTAATCCCATACTGGTACTAATACCAACCTGGACTGGACAACTAATACCAACCTGGACTGGTAACCAGACAAGAGGCCGTGGATCGCCATATGATTAAGCCCTCTTATCAACTTTACTGTCCCCTGAATAAATATGTAAATCTATGTGATAAGTACAAAAAAATATTATTGAATGAGGCCTGAATATGTCCCTATTCAACACTCAACCAGCCTTGTTCTGAGGAAACAATACACAAATGGCATCACCTGCAATGAACTCCAAAATCTTCAATCTTACTGAGAGGAATTGTTTGATATTCATCAGGGCCTTCGTCTGGTGGTTTGTAACCCTGAAACAAAAGTATAATCAGCTTGGTCATAGGGATTGGTAGCAACATCCATGGGCTTAGCCAAGTATTTTTAAAGGGCCGCGTTCTAAAATTTCTAATTGCCAAGTGTTGGACCGTGACAGCTAGCATTTGAGTTTTTAAAAAAGTCTTGGGTTTAAAAAACATTTCAAGCTACAAATAAATCGCTATGTGAGATACAGAAGAAAGTTTTTTTTTTTACATTTCAAAAATGGGAAAAGGGGATTTTTTCACTTTAAATGTGCGGTGGCAGTTCAGAACAGACAATATTGAACAGCTAAATATACCAATGTTTTTTTAGCAGATACCATTATAAACACCTATGTTGACAATATTGATACATTTCTCGTTTCGACAATCTCGTCTTCCGAGGAATTCATAACCAGCATGAACATCATAGCTCTACATTAGGGTATGTCCTGAACGCACCAATATTAACTTTTCCAGCACTGATAGTCCATGTTGGGTCAATTACTATCGCTACAAACGATTCTTCGAATTGCTGATTCAACCTCTAGGTCGGGGTATTTTTTCACTTCAAATGGGAGGGTAAGGCGTGGTGGTTAAGAACAGACAATATTGAACAGCTATATATACCAAGCTTTTTTAAGCAGATACCAATATAAACACCTATGTTGACAATATTGATGCATCTCCCGTTTTGATTTCGTCTTCCAAGGAGACATACTAAAAATGGCCCAAACAATTTAAATCATATCTTTACCTTGGGGTATGTCCTGAACGCTCCAATATTAACTTTCCCAGCGCTGATGGTTCGTGTTGGATCAATCACTATCGCCACAAATGGTTCTTGGAATTGCTGGTTCAACATCTGGGTATCTGAAAAATTTTCAAGATAATTTATTAGAAAACTGATACTAATAGACCAGTGGGGGAGTAATTACTCTTCCTGAGTGGGGCAATTCCTGATAATAGTATGGGTTACTGAGTGGGAGGTTTTTTTATAACAGCATGATGTAACAATTGGGGTCATTATGACATTCTTTTCGGTGCTCCCGAAGTATGCGAACCAAGATGGCGGACATCGGAACGTAACATGGGTAACAGGTTAGGGTTAGGCCAGGGATGGCCAATACCGAATAGTTCACTATTTCGAATACATTCGAAATTATTTTTTTCGAATATGAAATTTCGAATACTTCGAAAATAAAATCCACTAATTGAAGCTTATCTAAATGTATGTAGGAATTTCCATACAATAAGCAATGGAATAACTGCTATCTACAAGTTACAACCTAGCTATATTACCAGGCATTTCATATTTGCAGATTATTGCAGTATATATTTTATATACCATGAGTCATGTTAACAGAATTAAATTAATACGACAATAGTGGTATCGATGATGGATTTGAATATTTGCGCAACACAAAATCACCCTAGTAAAACGCCCATACTTTTAAATACCAACCATTATCCAAATTATTTGTCGAAAAGCGGGATAAAGTATGAGGTATTTTTCCGACTTGTGACAATTTTTTCGTGAGTACAAAAATACGAATCAAAGATTAATTATATTTGGGAACTTTATCACACATTTTAAGTCCACAGATCGCCGTTGTATGTTTGAGTAATAATACTTTTATTATTTCATAAATATGAAAATAGGAATCAAAAACTATTTATAATCGGGTAGTTTACCACACATTGTAAGTCCACAGATCGCCTTGTATTTTGTAAATACGAAAATAGGAATCAAAAATTCATATTAATCGCGAGTTTGCCACACAATTTATGTCCACAGATTGCCGTGATATTGTGCCGAATATAATTAGTTTTGATTCTTATTTTCGTACTCACGAAAAATTGTCACAAGTCGGAAAAAGAATTTATATTTCATCCCGCTCTTGGGAACTAATTTGTATAATGGTTGCCATTGGTTTGTATTTAAAAGTATGGACTTTTTACTAGGATGATTTTGTGCTGCGCAAAATATTCGAATCCATGACCGATACTACTACTTAAAATGCCTTACCGTGTTAATTTAATTCTATTATCATAACTCAAATGTTGGTAAATCGGGCAGTTTACCACACATTTGAAGGCCACAGATCGCCGTTGCATTTTAGAATTATTAGTTTTATTATTTTGTAAACACGAGTCCGAAATTAATTATAATTGGGCAGTTTACCACGTATTTCATGTCCACAAATACCCGTTGTATTTGGCATTAATACTTTCATTATTTTTATCAATATAAAAATAGGAATCAATATTCAATAATATCGGTCAGTTTACTACGCATTTTATGTCCACAGATTGTCCATACAACCATGAGTTACGTTGAACAGAATTAAATTAATACGGCATGACATTTTAAATGCTGGTACCAGTCATGGATTGGATTATTTTGCGCAACAAAAAATCATCCTGGAAAGGATCGATACTTTTAACTATCGTTATCAGAATTATTTGCCAGAAATTATTTTCTAATAAATCGACTTGTTTTTCCAACTTGTGACAATTTATTGGATATCGTAACAATTACGGCTATAAATACCGTATTTCCCGGCTAATAAGTCCACATGGCAAATAGGACGATGTCTATTTTTAGCAATCAAAAAAGGGTTTTTTCCATATAGGCCTCCAATAAGACGGGTAGAAAAATTCGCTAATAATTTTATATGTTTAGAACCAGATCATGTTAGTTTGGTAGAATCATACTCACAGAATTAACTATTTTTAACAATTGAGCGGTAAATTTAAGTTGTAAAGCGGCAATCATTTTGGACAACCTATTAACCCGAATGTTGAAATAATTTTGGAATGTGATAAGTACTACACTGTACGTCCACGGGTTATTTCACAGCTGTGTTTTCCTGCCCCTGTCGTGTTTTGCTGAATTGGCAAAACGAAAGGGTCACAAATCACTTTATCTTGGTGGCCGTGTTCCTCTTTAAAGTAACGATAACCAGCCTGCGATTAAATATCATGATTGGCAGACCCTAAGACCCAAATATAAGGTTACACAAATCATGCTTGAGAAGACTCATGCGAATAATAAGCAGGCCACATAGAAATAAAAGAAACATACTTTCTCTATTTTTCGACGTAATGGAAATGAATTTGTAAATTAAAAGCCTCGTACACGAATGTCGGCAATGTCCACCCACGCAAACGTGCAAATGTGTCGCAACACTATGCGACGTACGGTTGCACAGAATATAAACATTCAAAGTGCCGATTTAAAAAGTCGTTTAAAGCTTCCCGTAAAAAAAAAACGAAACACCACGTTTACGGCGAAAAGTGGCTACTATTCGGAATTATTCGAAAATCAGCCGAAAAGGTATTCGAATACCTTGATATTCGAATACATTCGAATATTCGATTCGTTTTGGACAACCCTGGGTTAGGCGATAATTTTTTTCCAATTTTCCTTATTTTAGTCCTATTATCAGTTCGAAGACTAGCCAAGAGCCTCCCGTAGTATTTATACTTAAAATTATGGCCTAACCTAGTACACATATTACATTACGATGTCCGCCATCTTGGTTCGCATACTTCGGGAGCCCCTTCTTTTCATCAATATTTTTGACGAAAATTTATATCCATAAAAACTATAGTTGAAATTTCAGCAGACACAAGCAGGCAGGATTCGGCCTCCAGAGTATTTAACAGAAAAAACAGTAATTCTATACTAAATGAAAAATGAAGCACTCCTAGTATATAAGTCATTAACACAATCGACTGTTTGAGGACTTCCAACACCGACCCATAGGTACCATATAAAACTTACCAACATCAATTCCAGAAAGCCAGCAACCATATCCTGGATGGCTATGATACCAACCGATCACGTTCTCCAGTCTGCCAACCTGGAAAGAGAAAGAATGTGAAATAAGAATACAATTATTATTAACAGTGTTTTCAAGTTTTCATCTTTTTTGGGAATGAATAAAATGTGAAGTATATATTTTATAGAATACGGAGTGTTGAATAATTTTATTGTATTAAACATAGATGTCCAGTGGGGCACAAGACGTAATGCATGCGAGATACGCCGTAGAATATGTACGATACCACGTCAATACCACAAAAACATAACTCAGAGAGGAAAATACTAAAAAGTCTGCTTACGAACACGATACTCTGCAGGCCAGGACTCTTCAAAGTGGCACAAACAGCTTAATGACGATTAGCTTGATAATGAGTAAATGCCTTTTCGACAATAACTTATGTTAAAATATCGATCAAATTTAAAAGATTTGGAATCTGTACTAAGACCCACCATCGCCGAAATTGATCTGAGATTCAGTCTTTTGTGCAAGAATATGCTGACACATCAGTCTCATTAACAATTTGTCAAGTTCAGTATTCTTTTTAGTATTTTCGGTAATATTAAATTTTACTTTATTACTTCTCGATTTTAATCGGTAAGTATGTTGATATTTGTCTGTTAGATGCAGGCGATATCTCACGAAAGCGAGATTGAATCTGCTCCAGATTTTCATGTGCATTCATCATATCTCAGACTAGGAGCCTATTAATTTTGTATGAATTACCGTATGTCGTATAATTAGCGAGGTATTAATTAATTAGTGATGGGACAAAAGGTGTCACTATGGAGTAAGAGCACTGTTTTGGGGATCCCCTAACTTTCGATCGATAAGTCTTCGGTCTCTGACCGATATTCTCGTTTTTTTTTTGTTTTCTTCCTGAAAGTCGCGAAGAAATTTGGCCATGCCAAGTGGGTGATGAAAAAAGCTTTTGAAGAACGCTGACTTTGACCATGATCACAAATTTTCAATCTCATATAGCAGGTTTAGCACAGTTACAAACCTGTTTAGCATTATCAACATAGGCTGTCATGTATTCGTATGCAGCGGCTTGTGCGTTGACCCGTGTCTCTGTGCCCTCAACAGGAAGTGCAAAGCAATCCATGACAAGCATGTTTGGGCCATCTATCTTTCCGAGCATCAGACCCATAACCTAAATATTGTAAAAAAGACATGTTTTAGACATGAGATGGGAGCATGAACTGTTCTTATCGATGGTATTCTATTTGCTGTTGTCAAGACGAAAAAGTGCTTTTGTCATCAACTAATAGAACATTTGACCTTCAAATCGTCAGTGACAAAGGATGTAATCAGGGGCGAGTAGCCAGGGGGGTTTGGGTTAAAGGTCGAAAACCCCCATTTAAAAAAAAAGACTCTTGGAACCCCACGTTTCCCGCTAGTTGGTTTAATTTGCCAATGATGAATTTTCAGAAGCCCCCCCCTGTGAAAATTCTTGGCTTTGCCTTTGGATGGAAGTGTCCTTTAGAAGGGATATAACTTTTGTGTTTTACAATACCTCTTGGTATCTCTATGGTTTGTTGTTCAAGTTATAATTTTGCATGAATTGAGATTAATTCCCTGTCAGTAATACAATGAACTTAAGTACCGTATATTTGAATTTAAACGTGTCGAATACACATATGACTTATAGTCTAACTTAACATTGCTCCAGAATCTGTGTCCAAATCTGAATTCAACTCGTCATCTTGGTCATTGAAGCCGCAATATTAGGATGGGATTTAGATATTTATCCCGGGGAGAGGAAAGCCGATACGACGGCGTATCCATATGGCGAACCACGGCCTCTCGTCCGGTTACCATTCCAAGTCGGGTATGGGATTAGTTATATTGCTTGTTTCAGAAGCGTGGACTTGGTGGTGGAGGAAGCCGTAACCAACCAGCGGTTACGTGAACCACCCAACGACCAGCAATCTCCTCGCACATAACCATCCCTGCATGGGATTCGAACCTGCGAACCCACGCAGAGTAATTAGAGGTGCGGTGGCGAGCGTATTCCTAACGCTTAGCCCGTTGAGCCACACCGCCGCGCCTGTTGGAGAACAGCGAATGTAGACTTACCTCCAAATTCTTGCCTGACCTAGCATGCATAACCATCTTGAGTAAAGCAAGTGCAGATATTTTACTGGTTTTAAAATAATGCGGATCCTTTGTCCATGGTTTTGCATTCAACATTTCTTGTTGCTGTTTCAGCTCGTATTTGTAGATTTCGTCGACTGAGTGAACAATCTAAAAATGTTTTTTTATTATTTAGTGTCGCCAGCTCTGGTGGCCTAGATAAAGTGTTAAAATAGCTTCGCAGGTTAAAATCTTGATTCAAGCTGAAACAAAGATTTCGGCTCTTCCCAAAAGGGTAGCTCTTCACATATCTCTGGCTGTTTGTGTAAAGTGAAGGCAATATTCCAATACAGAAAAATATGAAAATTATAAATGTCCTTATTTAGAAATCCAAATCTTTAAACTTTAATCTCGGTGCATCATCTCATCCAGGGGGTTCATAAATTGGTACAGAAAGCTGCCAGAGAAAGGTTTCGGTCGTTCCAAATGATGGTAGTTTTTCACACATAACTGACTGTTTGTGCAGAACCCCATCCAGAGTGGAGGTATTCAATTATATCAAAAAAAACATTGCTTCATTCGCAAGATGTCAACAGCAACATCAAAACTGAAATTTAAGCAATCTCTTAGATATCTTGTCACTGAATCCTGATTAATAACATTGGCTTGTTTTTGCAGGGATAGAATATATAGAACAAGCATTTAAAATTAGCTTACAGTACTTTCAGCACAGCTGTTAAAAAGTTGGTGGCAAAACAATGATTTTGAAGAATTAAACCAGTTTGCACTAACCAATTCAACAAAATATTTTTAAAATAACTCATAACAAATTTGCCATTAGTGAAGTACCGTGGTTCACCATATAGTTAAGTCGTGTTATTGACTTTCGTCTCCTCCAGGATAAATATTCAAATCCTATCCTAATAGTAATTAAAAAAAAGCTCTCACTTCCATATTGTTCTGCATTTCCCAAGTCTTCAAAGCCATCGCAGAACCTGAACTCAAAGGCTGGTCTGTCTTTGTAGATGCAGATCTAGGACAAAAATTTATTTATAAAAATTTTATTCAGAGCTAAAAGTCAGGAGAATAGCAACAGAACAGTTGCAAGTCACCACTAACATGTTAAAAGATGAAGTTTTCAAATTCATCTCGGGGGAGAGAAAAAGCGGAAAGAATGGTTTAATGATATGACAGAACATGGGCCCTTGACATGCTACCAGTCTATGCCAGATATGGGAATAGTAAACCAGATTATTAGTTTTGAATGAATGAACTTGGTGTAAATATATATTGATATAGCACAGTTCACTGATTCCAAGAATAGCCCCTACTTAAAAAACATAAATCATAACAGTGATTGCAAACACCTGATTTATGAGACAGTCAGGGCCTCCATACTGGCAAAAATTAGCACTGTGCAACAAAAAGGGAGCGCATTCTGAAAACGACACCATTGAGTTCCTTGAAAATAAAATTATCCAATTTACCAAGGCAAAAAATTTTAACGCAGCATACAAGAGATTTCAGCAGAAAACGGGAATTTTGGCTATGTGACGGCCGACACACCACACACATCATGATTGATTTAGATTACTATTGAGACAAGCATGACACGATCTGAGGCATCTGCCGTCATGCCAGACGCCCCATTTCAAGAACAAATTGAGTTTGTTTTATTGAACTGAATGTCGGGACATCTTGAAATCAGAAAACTGGAGTCTCCTGAAGTACGCGCCCTCAAGTACATCTAGTGGGCGTAGCATAACGATTTTATTAGTATAATATTCCTAACCCCAACCTGAGTATGGCACCCAAAAATTACATCACTGCGCCGTCACAATCACGTCATAGAGCTTGCTAAAGTAGCTACAATCGTCCGAAATGGCATCTGTGCCGACTATAATGAACTAACAGTCACTAACGTCAGCGATCTCTCTCTTATTGGTATCGTTTGATAAGAAAACGAGAGAAATAGCCCAACTCGATTTCGAATGATTGTCTGCGCGACCATTCATATACTTTGTCGGGCCGTATTACGTCACTGAGATGTAATTTTCGAATGACTCAGTCAGGTGGGGGTTAAGAATGACATTTGCAAAAATTGCTGAGCCAGGCCAACTAGAAGTAATTGCGGTGTGTACTTCAGAAGACCCGAAAACTGTGCCCTACTGTACAAACATGATGTGATGTCTTGGCTATAACCGAATCACCAGTAGACAGAAATATTACAGTTTATTATACGGCAAAGTAAGACATCAGTACAACACAGCTTTTCGCTGCGCAGTTCAACACATGAAAAAAAAAACAAGCACGCAGACAGGTAAAAGGCAAGGAGCAATTACGAGAAAACAATTATGACATCATAATCACAAATCTAGTCCGTGTTAAAAACAACAAGCTATGATGTAAATACACAACACATGACGATACTAAAGTACTATTATAACAATTCTTATGATCGTATGAGTCAGTTGTTAATATATCTCAACCAGAATTGTTTTATTTTAATCGGTGTTTACTTAAGCTCCTTTCACTTCATTTATAAACCCTTATATGTCCACCATTACCGTAAAACCGGCTAACTTCGGATGCCTTGTAACTTCGGATGAAATTTTCAATCGTTCATATCTCAACTAAATTTCGTCGTATTGCGCTTCTGTCGGTTTCTATAGTAAGGCCTTGCATATCTGAATCTGCCGTAGCCTCCAATCGCTCGATTTGATTTTTTATCCTTCAAAAAATCATATTTTTAAAAAAATGACACCGTTTTTTCGAGCGGCTCAAATCGTGACTTCTACAGACGCTACCTTCGTCAAATCACCGCCAAGCGCTAGAGAGCGTACACAATGTATACAAAAAAATACAGTGATCACAAGGTGTCGTACGAGATTCGAGTGAAATCGATTATTTTGATTTAAAAATTACATCAAAATATCGACGTTTTGATGATTACGTACAGCGTGACGTCAACGACGCAAATCCCTTTCTCTCTCTTCGTAGCCGACGTCACTTTGCGTAGCTCGTGCGTTACTCGCTGCGACATTTGAACGCCAGACATCGCGCGCCCAGTTTTGTGAAATTTAAAAATTATGCTTATCCATGATCCTAGTCACTAAATCCTACAAAAACATCACTATCGTCTCAGTCATATGTTGTTTATTTAAAAATATGGGTATGCATACGCTTAATGCATATGAAATTTGTCGATTTTTGTTTTTGCATACTTCCTCCGACACCGATAGATACCGTAGCAATTGGTAATACGTTAGGCCTGAAACATGAACGAGTTATAATAAAGGACACAAGAATAAATAGTTAAGCTTCGCGAAGCGGCAAGAGTAACGTCACGTACAAACGTCAGTATGCAACACGCAAGACGGGTCGTGGCGGCGTAAGGTCTATTCAGCGACGTTGTCACGCGTCATTGCTTACGCAGACATTTCTCTCTCACGACGAGTTGACGCAAAGAGAAAAGTGGCCATCCGAAGTTAGATAATTTTAGAATAGACGAATAAAGACAATAATTTCAATGAAAAAAGGCTTTGATGGATATGGAACCGACTTTATCAAGACAAGAATAGCCACAATGTATTATATTCCAAATTTGGCTTCAGTTGAACAACATGCGGCGGCGATATTGTTCAAAATATAGTGAAATCATCCGAAGTTAGCCGGTTTCACGGTATTGGTTGTATGAAGCACATCAAAGTCCTTTTACCTAATTAAATACCAGACTTTATTAACACCCCCTATATCAGTACATTGGCTTAATCTTGAGACAAGGATCTCAGGCAGTTGACACAAAACAATTTCAGTAATCTGTAACGAAAAATCAAAGACGAATTGCGACATGGGACGAAAAACGGGTAAAACACATCGCAAAAGAGACCTAACATTAGTCATCTTTTACAGTTATTTCCACAAGTAAGCATGTAAAATGAAGATTCATTTATAAATAAGATAATAGAAGCAATCGTACCCCCCTTCTGATGACGTTCCAGGTTTTTCGTCCGACATTGTGGTCGAATTACTTATACAAATTACGTTTGCAAACACGACTTCGTCGATCCAGTACAAGATTAACAATACAGAGGTTTTACTGTTGCCAGATACAATAAAGAAGGGCTGGTTGTGCGAGGTTTAATAAAGAATAACAATATCAATAATCTTTTTTTCCACGTTTTCAATAATTAAGTATTTAAGTTGTAAGATAATTTTTATTTCAAAAATCAAATTTATTTTTTGTGTACATGAAATATGATTAATATTTACATGGTATCATCTGATTATGTGACATGTATTTCACAGGCCAAAGAGTTCAAAGATCATAGGTCATATTAAAATTACTGACACCGCATCCTTACATTTAATTTTTATAATAATTTACCTCCAAAGAGGATAGCGCCGGCCAGAGAGCCCAATAGAAAAATTCCACATTGGCAATGAAACATAATTTGGCAAAAAAAGCCCAATCGTTTGACAAACTCGTCTTCAAACGGTTCAACTGGTAATTCGTCCAAGGCATATGGGCATACATACACAAATCACAATGGTCGGGAGCCCAGATCACCTTAATTGGGCCCACACAAAACAATATGATAGAATAGGATTTACATATTTATCCCGGGGGAGAGGAAAGCCGATAAGACGGCTTAATCATATGGTGAACCACGGCCTCTCGTCCGGTTACCAGTACAGGTCGGGTAAGGGGTTAGGTAGCCAGTTTTTTGTTTTCGGAAGCATGGACTTGATGGTTTGAATCAATCACTGTTATTACTGCTGAAATATTTTCTACATTGTATTATGTTTATAATAGTGTTGACTTTGTTTTTGTGGCAATAAATCTCTTTCTCTCGGGCTAATCTGCCACGGATCGAATTTCATTGGTACGTAATCGTATCAAGTCACATATCTGACCTATCCATATACTTGCCGTGCAACTAGAACGGAGAGGAAAATTACGTTTCTTCAAGTTTGCATGTGACAGCGTACCATGCGGTTTTTATTCACATTGCATTCGTCTCTGTAATTATTGGGCACGTAGTGGACATAACGATCGATTTATTGTTATGTTGTTGTTGTTCTTTGTATCGTTTCGAAAAAATCGCTTTTTTATTTGATTACTGGACCAATTGCTTTGAAATTTTCAGTGATTAGAAAAAGAGATTTTTCTCCAGAAGGCTATTAGTTTTATTTTTTGCTGTGACGTCATCAAAATTATGTGTCTCTACGTGTCCATATATTTGAGCATAGCTCTCTTGTAATATTTATACAAAAGCTGTTACATTTTGAGAAAAACAAACACACATTTAGTGAGAGAGATCGTGTATGCGAACCATCAGTTTACATATTGCTGTACTATATTTCCGTGCTCGTCCCTGCAGCAATATGTCTTGGAATAATTTTCAAAATGTGCTCGCCTACATAATTGTTCTTGTTATGTTGCAATTCTGAAACACCAAAGTAAAATGACTGATTAAATTAGGTTGGATTGTTACCCAAACTACATGAAAAGAACCTCGTCTATTTGCTCATTGGAGTACCTGCCTGTCTACGAGCTTTGTTTGGAGCACATGCTTAAAACACCCTCGGCCCCAAACGAGGCCAACTTCTTTGCTATTCATAACACTGTGTACATACCGTTTTCATACTTCCACAAAATATAGCATTAGCTTATAAAAATTCAACATGTATATATATTGTTAACTATTTAAATATATAAAATGAACAAAATTCAACAGAAAATACCAACTAAAAACAGCAGCAACCTATGATTCAAAGTAAAGTTACAAATACAGATTTCTAGAATAGAACGAAAATGGAGTTCCTCAGCATTGTGAGGGAGAATATATGGATCCAAAATTTGGGAGGAATTTATTAAAAAAGTTTGTGAAACACTGATTTAGAGTCTCAGGCATATTTTTTTCGATTCATCGTCCAGCGGTTTAATCAGGCACGGCAGTGTGGCTCATTGTGCTAAGCGTTTGGAATACGCTTGCCACCGTACCTCTGCTTACTCTGCGTGGGTTCGCATGTTCGAATCCCAAGCGGGGATGGTTATGTGCAAAAGAACTGCTGGACTCCTCGTCGCCGTAGGGTGGTTCACATAACCGCTGGTCGGTTAAATATGTATATGTCGGGATAAATATGTAAATCCTAAAATCTAGCAATAGCCGGCAGTAATTGTTCCAGGTTTTGCTTTGAATAAAAATTTATTAAAATATCTGAAAATTGCAATACAACTAAATACATTTAAAACTAAAGGAACACTATATGACTGAAAAACTAACACAGGATTTGAAAAAAAAAATGTTGGTTAAAATAATGAAACAACAAAAATATTTCTAAATGAAGAAATATGGCAATTACAGAAAAAAAGATTTAAATATACTTTCTCAGGTGCAATGGAGAAGCAGCTCGAAAAGTTAAAAATTTAAAGCATGAGAAAGCATAAACTTATCCCAGTCAATAGAATGCAATACAGATATAATGTTAAATATTATTAGGCCTTTTTATTGCTTGTCTGTATCACCATACAGTTCTACAGACTGAAATGGTCTGAGCTACTTTAACAAATAAAATAATAATGGCGCGAGTCGAGCAGCTCAAAAGTAACTGTATTCAGTGTATTTCAAGCCAAATGCTTCGATAAAACTCGAAAATTGATTCAAGATGTCATCCATCTTCCTTTTCTTCTTTAGCGATAAATAACAGCGGGAACATTCCAACTATACAACCGATCAGAATTCCAAATGCTTTGCCCTGGAATTGGAGAACTTATTATGTAATAATGTAGTAAATCAATTCCAAAGCGTCAAATAGTAAAGTCAAAGTTAGGTTTATTTTTCCCAGTCACTAAAATAAAAAACAATACCAGTGAAGAGACTTAAGCATTTCAAGAGTCCTGTTGCACACAAACATGAATGTATTTCTGTAACGTTTCCTCTGATCAAAATCAGAGTTGTGAATTTGTTGTAAACTGCTTGTCTGGAGAAGTCTGATTTTGGTCAAACGAAACGTTACAGAAATACATTTGTGTTTGCGTGCAGCTGGACTCTTGAATTGCATAGCATGGCCATGTTTATTCCTGCTACAGCATCCTCGCAATATACGCATACGGATCCACTATCGCAGCGACATTGAGGAAAAATTGGAAGTTAGTCTTGAAACACCTCTACTGATAGTTATCGTAGCGAAAAGAACCTTAGATTTGATCTTGATGAAGTTGCTATCATTAAATTTATAAAATGCTCTAAAAACAATTGCGATTTGGATATTGCGCAAAAAGTTTTCACAGGAGAGAAATGAATTAGATAAGGTTGGGAATCACTGGTTTTTTGGCTTCTATCACACCATGAGTATGTCTGGTCATTTCTCATCGATTAGTAAATTATTCGAATTGCTTCAGGCAAGAATTTCAAATTGCCGTCATCTTGTTTTTAAACCAACACAGGTTGAGGTGAATTCCTCAATTTTTTTCATTGAAGCCATATTTTTACTCTTTTACCGACTCTTTTATCTTTAGTGAGTTATTAATGAAACATGTTTCTCAAACTGTCTGAAACTATGGAAGTTTTTAGTATATTATGTGCCCATCACAATAAAAAGTCACATACAGTCGAATATTTCCATTTTGAAAAAATTTATGTGATTCTGAAATCCTCAGGTATTCAAAAATACCCAGCCCCAGGTGGGTGAAATGTTTAAATCCGGAACCCACTAACACTAATTCTAAAAAAACAGAAACTTACCGCATTAGATGAAAAAATAGTTGAATTCTGCTCTGCTTGTTCCGGTGTTAATGCAGGTACTGGCAACCCAAGTTTATAGAAGAGGCTTTCAACATATCCAGCCAATCTAGAGTAAAGAGAAAAGCTTCGTGTTTATCCCTGTATTAACTAATATTTCTCGCACAATAATAAACCTGTGCAGAGGCCACATTATTCATACAGGTTGGCTCAGAGCAAGAGGTCGACTGTTCCAGCAATATTTGAAAAATTACTGATAGAGGGAGGGTTGCAAGTAACCAATGGAGCATAAAAATCTGCGCTTCAGAAGTGTATGCCCAATATGGAGGTAATTAATTTTGTTCGCCTACTTTATGTCAAGTTGTGTAAAGGGACTGAAACCCATGGGCAGGGGGTATATTCACTTGGCTAACACAGACAGTCCCCGAACTCATAATTGAACTTAAATAAGGAAAATCGTAATACAATTATTGTCTAACCCTAACCTAGTTCACACACTACGGGGGAAACTAAAAACCTGTGGCACGAGCCATGGCTGCCCTAGATATGCCACTGAATGCATCACATTGCATATGGTTTTGCTCACCATTTTTGTCAAGGCTTGTGAAAATAATTTGAGCGAATTTTCACAGGAAAACAAGCTTGGTTTGATCCAATATATGTCGATACAAATCTTGGAACCAGAAGAATTCTGTGCAGAGGTTTTAGGGAGTAGGCTACATATCCAATATTATATTCTCAATAATACTTGATAAAATATTGTGATTTATTAGTTTGTCTTGTGATAGTAAAGCAGACATTTTATCTAACCACAATAATATGAAACCATGTTTTTTAAATTTTTTCGCTACATACACTCACACACAGAAGTACAGAGGACCCATATCTTAGCAAAGTTTTGGACAAGCACAAGAGCTATATGCATCCACTAAGGAAAAAGAAGACCAGTAAGTAAATGACAAAAAATTTAATTTTGCATAAGTAAAATCAGCTTTGCACCTAGCATTGTGGCCCTCGAAACCTCTGCTTTAAAGCAAAGAGTATCATTGCCAAAGAACTTGTCGCTCCAAAATTTTTTTTCTTTAACATAAAGCTCTTACCCGATCCCAGCAATGTCTGATATGGTGTTTCCAAGAGCAGCAGCTGAAGAAAATGACGGAATTTTATGCTTAGTTAATCAAGCAGAAACAATGAAAATTTGTTTTAGAAATCAGAATGGCGGATTTTACGCTTGACTAATCAATTAGATTTTGTAAAGTTTGCAAAATACCGCTGAAAATAATAAATTTGGCAGAACTGAATGCCTTATTATTCATTTCATTTTGTTCTTGTATGTTTGTTTAAATCAGGGTGTCCAAAACATAAAATATTCCAAAGCGGGTATATTTGATGTAAAATACTAGTTTTATATAGAACAAAACTTAAATATTTTTGTTTGAAAATATATCATATTGGGTGCTTAGCATCTGATGGCCAGACAAAAATCAAACATCATTCAACTACGCTGTAAAAATGAAAAATCAATCGAAACAATTATCTATTTTATGATAAGTGATAACCATAGCCATCAATCATTTGAATATATATTGGCAAATCAATCGATAAGAAAATGGTTGATCATTAAAACTAAGTTCGTTAGAGAAATCACACAACTTGAAATAATAAAATCATAATGAAAGATCTTAATGTGGAAGGGTATTTTGCCATTTATCCTGGAAACGAGGAAAGTTGATAAAAACAGCTTTTTCATAGTGTGAACCTGACCATAGACTCTCATCCAGTTGCCATCAATTTTGGTATTATTTACCGGTAACTAGTTGTTCCTTTAATATAAATTGACTTAATTGAATTTTTTTTTTTGAAGTTCGTCAGGGCTTCCAAAACTGGGAGTTATGACCTTGCAGTAGGGCGAACAACGAATTTTAGGGATCGCAAAGAGCATCAATTTCACCAAAAGTACTATGTCTATTGTACTTTTTAGACTTTTGATTCAAAGCATAATTATAAAAACTAATGCAAAACATAAATCTCACAATTTCGAGAGAATACATGAGACCAGATAGGTGGCGCGCTTGCATAACAATGCCGAATTAACGATGGTTGTGGAAAATTTTAATATATTGGAAGGAGGGGCGAGCTTAAAAGTTTGGGAATCTCTGATTATGCGAATGTGCTCCACCTCATACATCTGCCAGAAGCTGGACAAGCAGTACAGCAAACAGAACATCTAACCTGGTTCACACACTACGGGAGTTCCTAAAAACCTGTGGCACGAGCCATTACTGCCCTAGATATGCTACTGAATGCATATCACATTGCATATGGTGTTGCTCAACATTTTTGTCAAGGCTTGTGAGAATAATTTGAGCGAATTTTCACAGGAAAACAAACTTGGTTTTGATTCAATATATGTTGCAAACCAGAATAATTCTGTGCAGAGGTTTTAGAGAGTATATGTTCAATATTATATTGTCAATAATACTTGATAAGATATTAAAAATTATTAGTTTGTCTTGTGATAGTGAAGCTGGCATTTTATCTAACCACAATAATATGAAAGCATGTTTTTTCGAAGCGAGGTTACACACACACACTCACACAACTTGAAATAATAAAATCATAATAAAAGATCTCAATGTGTGGGGGAAAGTAAGAAAGTATTTTGCCAGGCACAGGAAATTCTTCATCTGAGATTTTTTGGACACATTATGGATCCACTTTACAATAATTATAAATCATCCCCACCTGCCATTGTAGAAATCCCTAAGGTAACGCCAATAGTCAGGTCAATGTATTCCCCCTGGAAAACGAAGAAAGTTAATTCAGTGAGGAATCCAATTATTCTAACCAAGAAGTGTCTCATGGGAGAGAAATAATGTGAGAATGGTCGTAACTGGATTGAGGCGGTTTTAACAGAATTAAATGGTCTGAATAGATCAACAATTAACTGACTAAAAGATGTTTCTAGTAATTCAGAGACGTATGATTTTTTCTGATGAATTATTTTTGTTCAAACAATAAAATTACTTGTCATTGCCAACAGGAAAAATAGCTTTCAAATATTTGAAATCTTGGAACTTTGCATTTGAAAATTTGATAATCTCAAGGTTTATCTCAAATCAAATATCTATGAATTCACAATATCTTTGCTGAACACGAACTAATTAAAAAGATATTTGACAAAACTGGCTCAATTAGGCCCCTCGAACAAACAAAACAAAATAAATTACCGCCAGTATCATGATTGCATTATCCAGAAATCCGAAACCAATAAACGGGATACAGTTGTGAACGAAAACTGAAACATAAAATTTACAGTTGATTGAGGGGTAGGCTTATCTAGCAGTGGACATGAAATGATATCCTCATAGTTAGGGTGTTGGGCCTAGGTATTTGGTACTCTTGTAGTATGCGAACCATGATGGCGGACACCGGTACCTAGTATGTGTACCAGGTTAGGGTTAGGCCATAATTTCATGTACATATACTACAAGAGTCACCTCGCTAGTCCCCGAACTCGTAATAGAACTAAAATGAGGAAAATTGGAATAAAATTATGGCCAAACCCTAACCTGGCACACATACTACGTTCCGGTGTCCGCCATCTTGGTTCACATACTTCAGGAGCACCAACTATTTTGACTATTTTTGCTCTTTACCCAGTGTTCTTGATTAAAATGTAGACGCCATGTCCTACTGGTTTACAGGGTTTATCGAAATATTCTAACGACCCTTGATATTTTGGATTTTTAATTTCTGAATGCATTATAGTCAAGTTATAGTGGCTTCGTGTGAAAGTTAGAGAATCATAGAAATCAGTGATTGCTCAATTTATTAACAGTGAGAAAACATAGGATGAAAGCTTATTGATGACAGATGAGTATCGCCCGGTTTGTTCAGAATCTCTTTATTTAAAGCCATAGCCCGTTTTTGTATTTTCTCTCTAATTACAAAGACCCATTTAATCTGGCTTATGTCACGCAGAGTTTGGGCACAGACACACTTGCATTATAAATAATAAATGAGTGCGGCTTTGCAAATTGCATTGAGAGGTTCCTCTTTGCTGTATAGTGTTGTTTAATAAGTTAAGTGAATGTGAGATCATGTTTCTCACAAAAAATCAATCAATACCTCAACCAATTGTGTTCAGAATTTTTTTTAAATTCCCGTATAACGTGGTCCACGCAGTGTTTTTCAAATTTTTTGCGTCAAAGTCTCAGAGGATGCTAATAAATACCTTCGCTGCCAACCAGATTATTGAATTGCAATTAGGGAAACCGGTATATGATGTGCAATTTTTAATTTTTATGATGTCATCGAAGTGGAAACCAATTCCAACAAGCACAAAGATAGTTTTGAGAAAAATAAAGTTTTTTTTATTGTGGCATGCTAATAAAGTCAAAGTTTGTGTGATGACACATCGATTTTCTATTAATATGAAGACGGAGTCGGAGATAAAATTTTTGTCAACCCAGAGTTGGCGAACGTAGTAGCCATAATCATTTTTAAACGGCTGTGAATTTTCCAGACAGCATAGCCCTGGATTTAATCCAGCAATGGAAATCACAACACAATGTTCATTGGTGCCTAAAGAACATTATATGAGACATATCTTATACATTTATTTGCTGACAAAAGTTGACTCATTTGGGCAATAATATTGGCACAAAATTATAAAAAGTAAATTCCACTAAGTGTGAATATTTTATTCCATCATCTCGCAATAATTTCCTCATGCTACATATACATTTATATTGACAGAAACACGCAAAACCAGGATGCAAGGAAGTGTTCATTGAAGCATGACGACAGCAATATTCATTGAAGTGTAACAATTATTCTGCAAGACATATCTTGCGCATTTATTTGACAATAGTTGATTTAAGCGCATAAATATGAACATGACAGGGCATGAATAATTAATGTCATGCATAATGGGAAAGTAGTTTTTGAATGAGTTTCAGAATATATGAATTTTTAATTGAAATTGATATAAGCTCTCAAGGGTCAAGCATATTAGGGGTGGGCTAATTGCGGCCGTGGGACGGAAGCGGCACACCAAAGTGTTACGTCACTTCACTTGTGTCTGCTGAAATTACGACTATAGTTTTCATGGATTTAAATTCCCGTATCTACGAAAATAACGTCATAATGACCCTGATTGTTACATTGTGCTTCTTATTATTTTATAAACGTTAGCCTAGCTGTTGTAAATAAACTGTTTTTATTGATAGTTTTTCATATAGAGTTTTGAGCCAACGGCCCAGTAACTATGTCTGTTATGTATAACTGGCCCATCCCCGGTCTATATTGATGCTTTCAACCCCCGGACTAGACATTGTTCAAGAGCCCACCAGAAAATGTAGAGCTTTAGAGATCGAATGACAAGAAAACTTAACGTCCCGACTAAGCTCATGCTATATTTAGCCAGGCACAATATAAAGCAGTGGTTCTTAAAATTGAATGACCCAAAATTAGAAGCGAAAGGATATTCGTGGGCTGGAAAAGAGGAGCACACACCCTCAAACTGCGATAATGACATAACAATTGGCGGTATTTGGAACGTAAAATCATTTCACGAGGCCCACGGGACGCCGTTTGGGAACCACTGCTATAAGATATCATTCTCAACCCAAGGGAGAGGAAGGTCGATAAGACGGCTTACTCATACGCCGACCTTTATTCAGAAATCAAAAGCTGTAGTCAACAATCTTCGGGACTGACAGTAGTCATAACAGTTGTTATTGCATTAAGACAGACCACATCATGCATAATTTATGGTGTGGCATCTAACTAATGGCATCTTTGTGATGCCACAACATTGAACTAATGCAATTGGATCATCCTAATGGAATGGGACATAATGGACTTTTGTGAAGAACAGGATAAAAATCGAGGGTTTGAATCCCATGAAGGCGGGCCACTCCATCTTAGTGCAATAAACAGGTGAACGAAAAGTTTTGAAACATTATTAAACATGAATTTTTATCAATTCAAGACCGAAATTTTTGTTTTTTTCAGCTTTTCTCGAGTCTCTAAAAGACACACATGTAAAAGTAAAATTACTCACCAAGATATAACTGTCGCTTGGTGATTTGTCCTGAGTCCTCACCTGGAAATAATATATACATTTACAGCATCAAGCTTAAAATCAAAAATTGAAAGTCAAATATAGCTTTCCCTAATTCTGCCTTCTTGGAAATAGGAGAAGTTCCTTCCCAATCAAGCATTTTATTGTTTGCACTGTATTACGTTTCAGAATTACGGGTTCCCTACGTAATAGAAACAAAATGTGACTTCATTAACTTTACATTACCAGGAAATTTTTTTTAATATATGCACATTTAATCATGGGTATGTGTGACCTTGTTTTATGCACATTAAAAATGATAGCCCGACTGAAGACTCGAAATTATCTTGCAATCCAGCATTGCGCACAGTTTGGGAAGCAACAACCAGGGTTGTCGACCAGAATTCAAAGGGGGGGTGTTCTGAAACTTTGAATTGCCAAGATAGACTGTAACAGCTGGTGAGTCTGATCGAAGGCTGGAAAACGCGGGTTCCCAAGAGTCACGAGTGCCTGAAAGCCCCTCTTGGCTTTGCCCCTGTAACTGGAGCAGAAATTTGAGAAGTTCCATACGCAATGTAATATAAATTAGGCATTCAAGGAATTATATGGATAAACCTAATGATATCCAATGAATTCTACAGCTAAGTGTAAAAGCTAGCAAGGCTTTTATTTTTGATGATTTCAGAGAGAAAAAAGAATAAAGCAGTAAAAATCTTTTCAATTGTTTCTTTATACAAAAATTTTCTTCAAGGTAATGTGAATGCAGTAAGACTACATAAAACTACATGGAATTAATGTGGTCCAATACACACACTCACTCAGAAGTAAAAGAGACTCATGGTCAGCGAAATGCTGTGAACTATTGAAACTATATAGAATTATGTTGATTAATTAAACATTAGTAAATACTGATTTGGTGGAGTATACTTAGAAAAAAAGGCTCTTGAAAGCCATTCAGACGTAAAAAGACAGAGTTAAACATATGTTTCCATATTGTCAGAATACTGTATGGCACCCTTGGCATTTCAGAGTTGACCCCTGTGCCCTTTATAAAAAATTCCAAGATAGGCAGAGTTAGTTGGTAGATCCTAAATCACCAGCATCCATTGCTATGCAAAGCTTAAAATATTCAATTCTTAAAGTTGAGTCAAATGCTTCCTATGATGTGCTATGACCCTATCATCAGAATAACCATCAGGCTCAACTCATTTGCCATCTGATTCGTTGCTCAGAGATGAGCATATTCTTCATAAAGTTCAAAACCCCATAGAAAATAGAAGAGTAATTCCTACATGCTACATCAAGGCTTCCCAAACTGGGGGTCGCGACCTGCAGATGGGTGGCAACGAATTATAAAGGTCGCAAAGAGTACACCAATCTCACACAAAGTGCTTTATCTCTTGTACTTTTTTAGACTTTCGAATCGAAACACAACTAGAGGAAAACATAAATCTCACAATTTCGAGAAAATACATAGGATCGGAGAAGCGGCACGCTTGCACGGCAATACCGACTAACAGGAGTCGCGGAAATTTTTTCAATATGGAAGGGGTCTCGAGCTTAAAATTTGGGAAACCCTGTGCTACATCACCAGCCACCGTGCAGAGCTCAAAATGTTTTAAATATTAATAAAACATTTACTAAGCTAGAAGCTCACCATGCTGTTCAGAGTTAGTATTTATACCAATAGACTAAAGCAGCGAGTAAAAACCGGCGTTCCTCTTCTTTAAGATGGGACACGAACGTTTCAGCGTTCTCTGGTGAACGAATGTATTGCTTCAAAGTATAGTATAGCTTCGTTCGACTTGAATGTCTAAAAAGTGGATGAATTTCTTAAACTGAAAATTAAGATAAAATTTTTTACCCAGGAGAAAAGCCGATAAAAAAGACTTAATCAAATGACGAACCACGGCCTCTCTTGGTTGAGGAAGCTGAAAACGACCAGTGGTTGCATATATCACTCTGCGACAGGAAGAGTCCAGCAAGTCTGAAAAAATGAACTGATTTTGATACTCCCAATTTAGACAAGATGCCACGATTTGTCGTATGATTGAACCCTCAAATTGGCATTCCTTTTCCAAGATAAATAGGAATAGACGCTAACAATGCTCCCCACCGAAACGACAAAAAAAGTGGATCATTATGTTTTCTCACCTATAACCTAAGCGAGATACTTTATGTCTCATGTTTTGAAATACTTTTTCAATCTTGATTATGTGTGTTGTCATTTTTTGTGCCATACCAGAGTCCAAAATAAATTATCTTATCTTATCTAAGTTTTTAACTATTGAATATATAATCTCACCCTTTTTCTGCATAGTATTGAGCTTTTTTGCTTGATCGTTTTGAAGAGGCATCCCTTCTTTGTGAGGTAATAATTGATGGAAATCGGCTCTTAACATCAGTGGAAAAGCAACAAAATAATGAAGTCCTTTGTGCATAGTTTTCAAAAAGTTTTTGAGAAAAATATGAAGTTTGTGTTCTTCTTTTTTGAATAAAATTTAAATCAGTTCTGGTTGGCAAGTTACATTTCATGTGATAGTTTGAAATACATCTCAATGTGGAAGTATTATGATGTAACACTCTTGAGGTTTGCAGCATCTTACCCACTCTTTGACAAATATTCCAGTTCATCTCAAATGCAGACGCTCCAAAACGTTTTTGAAGCTTGCAGGTTTTATATCCTCGTTATTGCAGTTTTAACAGCTTCTAACTGTTTCCACTGCTATAAAACACTTAATTCAGAAGAATGGAAATAAAGAAACAATATTGAGAGGCTGATGAATTATCTATGATAAATTTGAACTGACTTGAGTAATCAACAACCTCGATTATATTTCCTAGTCTAAAATCCATGACTTTCAATAGGGAAACCTTGCTTGAACCTTTAGGAAGCTAGACTATATATTCTCATAACATATTTTCTACTACCTGGCGCGACGGTGTGGCTCAGCGGGCTAAGCGTTAGGAATACGCTCGCCACCGCACCTCTAATTACTCTGCGTGGGTTCGCAGGTTCGAATCCAATGTAGGGATGGTTATGTGCGAGAGGATTGCTGGACTCCTCGCCGTCGTTGGGTGGTTCACGTAACCGCTGGTCGGTTGCGGCTTCCTCCACCACCAAGTCCATGCTTCCGAAAACAAACAATACAGTAAAAACTAATCCCATACCCGACTTGGAATGGTAACCGGACGAGAGGCCGTGGTTCGCCATATGGATAAGCCGTCTTATCGGCTTTCCTCTCCCCCGGGATAAATATGTAAATCCTATCCTACCTACAGTACCATAGTAGTAGTTCATTTTAATTAAAATTAATTATAAGTTACTGATTATAATATTTGATAAAATCCTGGACTCTAATTTGCCTATATTTTGGCTTTTGTGAGTGAAGTGGTCTAGCCCCCCTCTTCATCAATTCAAATTCCGATTGGATGATTTGGCATTAGCCTAATGCCATTACCGGTACCATTAAGAGACTCCAACTATACTCAGATTAGCGTTATCTTTTTAGAAATACGAAAAAATAACAAATTTGGTTTTTGCAGATTTCCTGCATTTATATCCCTTATAAATTCGCGGCCTTCCAACTGCCTCCATCCGTTAAAAGCAAGGAATGAAAGGATTATAAATTCAAAGACTACAACCTCTGATACGGACGAAACTACCGACGAATACAGGAAGACGAAGGAGAGGAAAACAATTTTTTTTTCGCAGAGGAATAAACATTTGCTCATTTTTACCCTTGCAATATGGTGCGATTGCTCCCTAGCGCAAGCTTGCGATAACATTTTATAAAACTAATACCGACGAACGTTGGTTGATTAAAACGGTTACAACGTGAGGTATACTCAAGTTTAAGCTTAACTCGATGTAGATCTTACGCTTCATGTAAGAACTGACGAGGATTATGCGGGGTAAAGTAGCCATAAACATTATTGTTTTCGAGCATTCCGTGTTCACTGTCACATTTCTTCGGTGAACAAGCCATTCGAGAACAAAAGTAAAACCGCTGTATTCAGGCGAAAAATGAGGGTAGAAATCACGATATAGATGCAACGGTTAAATTAATTTATCATAACACGGAATACCGTGTGGCAATTCGATATAAGTTTAATTAAAATGAAAAGAACATTTTGTTCACTTTTACCCTGCAATTTACCATATAAGCTCTATATTGCCATCTCCCGAATCTAAAACTTGAATGATTTATTAAAAATGGAAGACGACCAAAACAAAATTGAATATACATTTTTATATTAAAATAATAAGTTGATTAATATTTTAAATTAAATCAAGCTTTCATTACTACAAAACGTTTCAAACCTATCTTGTGACAATTTTATTACGCATGACCAACGCGTCAATCATTAATTTTCGCGCTGTTTCCTAATTCTACATTTTAATAATACAGGTATTGCACTTTGCAGTTCAACAAAATTTTGCCCTGTAATTTTTGTTTATATGTTATTTCTTGAAGTATGGATGAGTTGGATTCATTTCTGGCGACTGTGGACGAATTCGTAGATGACGAAAATCGAATCGTAAGTTCGGGATTTTTGTTTTTCCAATTTACTTTTCATGTTTTCTGTCTCTGCAGCTCTGGGACACAGAGATCAGGAGATGAAATTTTACATATTTGAGGATAACAGGGCTTGATTATATTGCAAGCCAGGTCTCTCATCTCCTTATTCAGTCAATTCCGAGTAGGGGAAAAGTTATCAGGGTCTGGTATAGTTTAGTACCACAAGTACTTCCGGTGGGCGTAGCATAACGAATTTTGCATATGCTATTCCTAACCCCCACCTGACTATGCCATCCAAAAATTACGTCACTACGACGTCACCATCACGTCATAGGGATTGCCAAAGTATAATTACGATCGTCCGAAATGACATCTGCGCCGCCGATAACGAACTTGCTAAAGCCGGCGATCTCTCTCCTATAGTGATCGTTGTGACGAGAAAGTGAGAGAAATTGCTTGCTCGATTTCGGGTGATCGTCTGCGCGTTTTGGACGACCATCCGCATACTTTGGTGGGCCTTATTACGCCACTGTGACGTCGAAATGACGTAATTTTTCGGTGACGTAGTCAGGTGGGGGTTAGGATTGACATATGCAAAAATTGTTGAGCCAGGTCAACTAGAGGTACATGTGGTACTGAACTATACCAGACCCAAGTTATCATATGCATTTAGTAGTTCAGTAGACAGGCCTTGCTGTCTTGGTAATGACAGAAAATAGAAATATTGTGGCTAAAACAAATATCTTGTACATAGAAAGGTTGAACGGAGTATCATATATCGAAGGTTTTTTAACCTTATTATTTCATTTACTTCTTTGCAAATTTTAAAAATGGGAATTTACATATTCAACAACTATTCTTTTTCCCTTCCAGGTCACTTATAAATGGCTGAGCGAACAACTCGCTATTCCAACCAACAAAGCAAAAAGTCTTCTTCAGAATTACGCTGACTCATGCAAGAAACAAAACAATGGAATTCACATTGTTTATGCAATAATAGGACATGACTCAGCTGGAATAAGTGTAAAGGTCGTTCGAGATGTCGATCTTGACGCAGCGAAATCAAAAATGGATAAAGTTTATAGTGTTTCGTTATATAGCGTGCAAAAAATGAAACTTCAACACAGTGCTGTGCTGTATTCCACTGATTATGACACTCATCGTAAAAATCTGAGCGGAATTTCGAAATTTGGGGGTATAACGTACAACGGTGCAAAGTGCTTATCAAAGAATGAAGTTAAACAACAAAAACAAACACCAGGTGGTGCTAAAGAGATTTCTGCATACCTTCAAAAACAATTTGCGAAACCAGCATTTGAAAAAGGGAAACCTGTGCAGCAGAAAGTCAATTTTTTTACAAAGAACAAAACATCACCCCCACAAAAGAAAGTTAAAGAGGAAATAGCATCGAAAAGCGATGCTGAACCCCAAAAATTGAACTCTAATAAAAAACCTGATCCCCCAGTGGAAAAGGGGCAGAAAAAGGGCGTGGCTGCGTTTTTAACAAAAAATAAAACCGATCCGTTTGCAAAAAGTAAGACTGTAAAACCGGTGATAAAAGAAGAACAGAAAACAGTGTCCGATAAGAGTGAAAAACAGCCTTCAAAAAGCGACAGCACAACTGAAAAGTCACCTCAAAAAGATAAGACAAAAGAATCATTGAAAACAGAGAAAAAAAATAAAAAATCGTCATCGAAACGTTCAGTTGAAGAAGATGACCTAAGAATTGATGATTTTTTGGATGACGAGGATGATTTTATTGAAACTGATAAAAAATCTGTAAAAAGTTTGAAAAAAGTCGCTGATAAATCAACAAAACCAAAAACTGTTGAAAAACCGAAGCCGAATAAAAACAAGAAAAATTCGCGGCATGATTCGAACGAGCTTCCAGCGAAGAAACGACGCAGAATTCAGGAAATGTTATCTTCTAGTAGTGAGGATGAAAACGAAGATGAAAATTACGAGGAAGAGATGGGAATTCCCCCTCCCTCACCCCCACCTGTGATTGAACCCGAACCTGAAGCTGTGAAAGAAAAATTCGTTGAAGAAGTCAAAACTAATAAACGGAGGAAAAAAGTCATGAAAAGTCGAACATTTGTTGATGAAGAAGGGTGTATGGTAACACAAAAGTATTATGAATTTGAAGAATGCGATGATGCAGAACCTGTTGCTAATGGTAACAACGATCAAGCGGAACAAAACCACAAAAACAATACTGCAAATGGTGACACAGAAGCAAAAACGAAAAAATTTCCAGCGATATCTACTGCAGCTCAACCAAAAAAACAACAGAAACAAGCATCGATTATGGGGTTTTTCAAGAAAAAATAACTCTTTATTCAAATTTTGTCATAAATAGTGGGAAATATTTATAGCATTGTACATATATGCACTGCTTTTTCAAGAACTTAAAACTTGAACCGGGAGGCTGTGCAACTTGAGATGGGTATAATTAGTGCTGTCCAAAATAGAATCTTTTTTTGCCTCATTTTACCGATTTGCGTAGACAGCCCTAGTTATAATATAAGATAATACAAGATGACTAAACAAACAGAACCCAAGGTCATTTGTAACATATTGAGAGAATATAACTTTTGTGCCAAGCGTCCTTGATTACGGAAACTTTAGGTACAATCATACACAAACAGAAGTTCAAGTGTTCCATAAATTTCGTTGAGGTAATTAATAATTTTATGGGTCCTGTTTTTTTTTTGAGAGAGATTAAGAGCGACTTAGTATCGCGATAATTGATTTTTCTATGAAGCTGTTTTACATTAAACGATGACATCCTTTAAAAACCATGTGACTATGTGTGGCCTCGGAACAACAAGGAAAGCCTTGCAATAGGGGTAGAAGAGCGCGAATGCAGTCAATTGGTCTTCAAAGTTGTTGTTTTGCAATGGTGCCGCCATTCCTGCAATCTGTTTCTGAGCAGCATTCCATGACAATAATTTGGTACTCCCGTAGTATGTGTACCAGGTTGAGGTTAGGTCATGGTTTTTTTTCTTACTTTTAGTTCTATTACGAGTTAAGGGATTGTCTGTGTTAGCCAAGTGAATAGGTTTTAGTTACCCCCATATTGGTACACATACTTCTGGAGCGCCAATAATTCTGTAAAGTTTCTGTACCTTTTGTTGTTTCAGTCATTTTTTTAACAGTACAAGTGGCTCTGATATCCGAGAGGCTACCACGATTCAGTGTTTTGAAAATTTTAAGGTCTGACTGGATTTTATTTTTAGAAGAAAACACCCTGCCAGCCCAGATGATAAGTTTCTTCTGATATGCCTGTCATTTGTGTGGGTAACATCTAAATTAGGGTTTCCCAAACTGGGGTTCCGTGATGAATGTCGGGGGGTCAGCAACGATATTACAAGTCTGATCTAGCCAATATGATGACAGTAGAGTCGGAACTTCAAGTTTGCTTGTCACAAATTGCTCCGAGAGTTAAAAATTGTGCAGTGAAGAGCAAATGTTGTTTGTGTTATTAAACATTATCCTTCCTTGCTGGTTAGGCCCAGAAATTGATATGGCATAGCATGCGAGTCCGGTCAAAACCAAGATTCACAAATAGGAGACCACGACCCGGAAGGTTTGGGAAACCCTGATGTAAATCAATTAGAATAGGATACTTTTTCTTAAAATCCTGGGGGAGGGAAAGTTTATTACATAACTGGATTGGGTGCTCCCGAAATATGCGAACCAAGATGGCGGACATCACAATGTAATATGTGTACTAGGTTAGGGTTAGGCCATAATTTTAGGTATAAATACTACGGGAGGCTCTTGTCTAGTCTTCGAACTGATAATAGGACTAAAATAGGGAAAATTGGAAAAATATTATCGCCTAACCCTAACCTGTTACCCATGTTACGTTCCAATGTCCGCCATCTTGGTTCGCATACTCCGGGAGCCCCCTGGATTATATGGCAAAAACCAGTCCATTATAGTTGGTTCAACCATCCTACAACAAGTAATTCCTAACCTAATCGGCACCCGCTAACTTGCATGGAATAATAAGTGGTAATTTTTGTTTCTAATGGTTATCACAGCCCACTGACAAATCTGAAATTCTCTCAAATTACAATAAATTTAGGATGACACCAATTTACGGCACGGCTCTCAACTATTTATAATACGAGTTCTTGTTCCTTTAAAATAAAATAGAAACGCTTTGATTGAGAAGTTTATTTCGAAAAAATGATTGCTGTTACAGAAAAACAAACTAATTGCAAAAGATTTAAAATTGATTAATTGAAACATTCAGAGCGAGTACGAAGAAATATTGAATAAAATACAGTATACTAAATATGTCTAGCAAAATTTCACCAGCAAAAAAGCTTTACTTTGTTAGAGTGTGGAATTTCATCAGCACCATCTAACGCAGGGGTGGGCAACTTCTCTGGTCGGCGGGCCAGATGTGAAAAAATAAAGCCCTCGGCGGGCCGGATTATTAGGTACAAAAAATACTTCAGTATCCAATCTTTGTTAAATGCTCGACACTCTCTGTCAACTCTGTTTCTTGGGATATTCTATGGTTAATAAAACTTAATATAAAATCTAATTTCTAAAATCTATTTATATTCAGAATCTAAATATAACTGATAACAGTGAGGAATGTTCACAACGCTTTCTGCTTTGACCTTATTTAACAAGTGTGCTAACGCAATTGTTTGTTCACTAAGGCAATTGTTTATTTCACCAGCTCGCACTGACAGTGTGGTGAGAGTAGAGCGATCGGCAACTTTCAGGAATGATGCGTCGGACCACATTACAGAGTGTGGTTGAATACAGTCAGCAGGCCGGTCAAAAACTCGTCACGGGCCGTATGTTGCCCACCCTTGATCTAACGTGTGCCGAGCCCTATAGCAATGGTTCCCAACTGAGACCCGTGAAGGGGGCCAAAGGGCAGTTGAAGGAGAGCCACAATGCGGCCACAAAACTGATTTTATTTTTCCCTTTGACAAGAAAAAATTCTATTCTTGATAAGGTTATTTATTTCACAGAGTGTTTTCACTTTGTTGAGCAAGAATTGTTTGAACATAATAGGATTTGATCAAAATAACACTATGAATACCATTGGAATGAGAAACGGAAGGTCACAAGCACAAAAAGGTTGGTAATCAGTGATCACTACCTCATTGTTTATCATTTGTCTGACAATCCAATCAGGGTGTGTGCAAACTGTGGCCCACAAGAAATCGTTGGTATTGTAAACGAACTCCTGTAAAACACACATTAAACAAATTTAAATAATAAACATGATAACGAATATCTATTTATTGAACCAATTTATTGTCGTGAATGATTTGTGATTTGAATACGTTTTTGCGATCAAAGTGCAAAGTGAACATAATATAGTCGAGTGATACGGTAGTCGCTTTGGTGTTGTGCACCTCTGGTTTAGAGCATCCCTAATAGATAGTACTAAGTACCTAAAATGGCAGGCATTAAAAATAAAAAAGATGTCACATCTTTCAAATATGGCAGCAAAACAGCGAAGCATTCACGATTATTAAAACGTTCAATCCAATAAAAAAAATGACAGCGGTATATTGATATGACGCGAGTTTTTAAAGTGAGTAACTTCTATTAAATGGGATGAGCACCAAATTAAATGAGGTAATTAAAAATAAAATCCTAAAACTTGTAATAATTCAGTTCGATAAAATTGAAGTACGGTAGATATACAATCGGCGGTGTGGCGCATCGTGCTAAGCGTTAGGAATACGCTCGCCACAGCATCTCTGATTACCCTTCGTGGGATCGCAGGTTCGAATCCCATGCGGGGATGAGGATGCGGCTTCCTCCACCATCAAGTCCATGCTTCCGAAAACAAATAACTGGGTAACGGGACGAGAAGTCGTCTTATCGGCTTTCCTCTCCCCCGGTATAAATATCCTAATCTATTGGAATTTCTCCTTTCCAGTGAAATTGCCACAATCTAGTTTCTGCAAAATCGCGTATTACTAATTACCATGGGTCATATAGTAATCAGTGGTTCCATTACATTTGAACCCACGTACATTTGAACCCATGACAATTGCGCCTGTATGCTATTGCACCTATGGAATTTTTTTTGTTTCACGGATAGTTAAACCCATACTAACCCTAACCCATGGGTTTTAGCACCCGCATATAGATTGAACCCGTGGATATACGCATGGGTTCAAATGTACGGTCACCTAATCAGTACATCAGTAATTATAAAAACAGCTCTCTCTGTAAAGTAATACAGACTAATTGCACAAAGGTATTTAAAAACAGGCGCGCAGCCAGAATTTTTTTTTTAAAAAAGGGGGGTGTGGGGGTTTCAAAATCCTAAATTTCCATTCCCTTATGAACCAATCGCGCTCGCAGAAAAATTCGACTTTTCAGGGCATGAAGACTTTTCTGTCGCGTAAAATGTTCAATACATGACAACTATGAGAAATCATCATGATTCAGTTCCCAGTGCAAAATTGCACATCAGTAATTATAAAAATAGTTTCAGCATAAAAAATCGAAAAGACTAATTGCACAAAGGTATCTAAAAGCAAAGCATAAAAGTCACGGATGGATAACTTCATGCAGATTCGAATACAGACGGATGGCACATGCACACATGATTGGAGCAATATATTTGGGGAATAAGTTAGTTACAGGTAGGGCTGGGCATTTCGAATCGAATAGTAAATTATTCGAATCGGTTCAGAGCTAAATTTAGAATCGCCGCCATCTTGTTTTTATCTTTCTGCCAATGGTCGAGGTGAATTCCCCAATTTTTTTTTCATTGGAGTCATATTTTTTCAACGAAATTCTAACAGATGACTATTTTCTGTAGTGAGTTATTCATAAAACGTGTTTGTGATTCTGTGTGAACGCTCAGTAATCTATCTGGGTTATTTATTTTATGTCTTCAGTAATTCATTTGTTGAGAGGACCAATTACTATAATAAAGTCGCTTACAATTATATATTTTCAAGTATTCGAGATTCGATTCGAAAAAATTATTCGATTCGATTCTGAAATCACAAGGTATTCGAAAATGCCCAGCCCTAGTTACAGGTAGCCACGAATACGTCAATAGATACTGTGACTGTAAAGAATGGATGTTTCCCCGAGCATCGATTTCCTTGTTTATTACCGTAACGAAGACAATCAGCAAAAATTGACGTAACAATTGTAATTTTTGCAGCCGCTCAGAGATTTCGTTGGCTAAGACAGATATTAAACGTGGTTGTTAAAATTGCCTCGTTTTCGCAGTTTTGCGTGTTATTTGTCAGTTTTCAGATTTATTCCCAAAAAATAGGTATAAATAAAGTATCTTAATTAAGATTTATATTTTAAGATGAACCATGGTCGCAATAATAAAAAATTAGTCTCACAAAAGCTGCGATAGACTAGGCTAAAATTAGCTATTGGTGCCTTTATTAAGCTACGTGTGGTTGTATATTTTATTGAAAATGATGGTTCGGAAAACGCAAACCATTTTGTAAAGTTCAACTCTCCAAAACACTCACAGAAATAAATATAAAAAATTTTGGTACAGGAAGTACAGGAAGAATTTTTTTGGGGTCAAAGGTCAGAGAAACATCCATTATACAGCGAGATTGCCAGTATATACCGATTCAGGCGAGACTTGGGGTCAAAGGTCGGAGAAACATCCATTATAGAGCGAGATTACCAGTATATACCGATTCAGGCGAGACTTGAAGCAGTTAATGTCAATGGAATCAGAAAACAAGTTTTTTCATTGCATTAAAAATTAATAAGTTTGAAAGGGAAAATACAAAATCGAATTTGGCTACTAAAATTTGATGAAAACCTGGATGATATGGAGTGCCACACAGTAAACATTTGTCGATTAGTAGACATAAACAAAGCCTCTTTCTAAGGCAAGATTATAAAATAACATCTCTTTTTATCGAATTAGAAATATCTAAAAGTGATTTTTGGACATATAAACCCATAAATTTAGAATAAATATGGGATGGACTACCATAAACATTTGAAGTATGCACAGTCTAACCCTTTTTTATCAGCATACCTGCCTGGCAAAATTATCAAACGACTCTTTTCATTGAATTAGATATAAAAACAATATTCGGGGGCAATTATAAGCCTTTATTAAAGTAAACATAATCCAATTCTTTTCCTAACTTAGCTCGAATAGATTCTTGGACTTCAGGTTCCAGCTTTGAGAATTTATATTTGCACTTTTGTGGGAAGAGAGAACATGCTATGGGGACCATGAATAATAAGAAGCCTCCTACTCCAATTACTTGAAATGGGAGATGCGCCCATTTGTAATTTCTCCAAAACTTGGTGTGCTTTATTCTCTCGACTATGAGCGGAAGTAAAAGCATTCCTGGGGCCGCCATAACGATTCGTGACGTTACAACTTGCGTAATTCCCTTGATTGCACATTTTTTTGAATTCCCGACTGGTTTGTCATTTTCATCCGTGATTACAACCCCCGAAATTATTTCTGATTGACGAGAAAGTGGGATATTGACTGCGTTTGCTGACGCTACCGCCGCAAACGGAACCCATCTTGCTAGAATTGGTGTAGCCAGAGCTGCAGATCTGGAAATATATGTGAAAAAATAGGCATCATTATAGATACTTCTATTAATAAACAAGAATATTTCAAAATAAATTCTGAAGCATATATTTGATTAGGCAATACATATAATACAATTGGGTAATCCTTGTTCTGTACCAGTAAGACCAGAAGTGAATGATTTACTTTCAGAATTCCTCCTGAAAAAATATAAGCGTGCGTGCTGCTAACCTAAACATGTAAAAAATGCGTGAGCATTATTAAATAACAGTTTTGGGTAGACGTCCGAGTCTTGACGTGTGCGATTTCCCATTAAATTGCTAGTTACGAGGTCTTTGATAAATGATGGCTCGATACCGACTTGAGACAAGCTTTTCCAGCTTCATTAAAAATGCTGCTGATTACTCACTTTGCTAAGATATGAGTCTCTTTTACTTCTGAGTGAGTGCCGAGTGCCCCTAACTTTGCTCACCGACGAGTCTCCTTTACTTCTGAGTGAGTGCTCCTAACTTTGCTCAGAGAGAGAGTCGCCTCCACTTCTGAGTGACTGTGCTCTAACTCTAATCCCATTTACCGTTTTTGTTCAACTAATCAATCAAATTGTAAAATCAAGTTCAAATAAGAAAAGTAAATTCCCCCACAATAACTCACCTATTCAGCCCAACAGCGACTCCCATTCCAGTAACAGTCGCTGTAAGATACGCAAAGAACATCTGCTTTTTAGTGATCGTTGAGGCGGCGTTTCTGTTCGTATAATTCACCAAAGCATTGAAGGACTGATTCATCCATTGCATAGACGCCACTTGGAACGGGGTCTTGTAAAATTGAAGCAGAAGACCTAAAGATGAAAGGTTTTAATTGTTTGGTCATTATGCTTGGTCTTAGACCAGTGGTTCTCAAATGGCAGGTCGTGGACAATTTTCTAAGGGGCCGTGAAGATAATTAAAATGAAAATATTTATTTGATCTTGCTCGCCTTATTTTGGATATTTACATTTACTTCATTATTTACATTCCATTCACATATTTTTCGAATAAAATATACTTTCGCTTTACTATCTGTTTTTTGTAGCTTATTGTTAGCAAGTTATTTTTGAGGTGCGACGTGAGACTTGACAAATTCTAAAAGACGGGCACGACTTCAAAAGTTTGGAACCGCTGTCATAGACAGCAGGTTATAAAAACCAAATGGTTTGTTTTGTTCAGTCAGTTTGGATAATTATTCAGACAGAATAAAATCCTAAAAAAATCTAATTCTGAACAACAAAAACTTTGACATATCCAGGCCTTCCTTAGTTGGACTGTTAGTTAATGGAATTTGGTAAATTCAATTCTCAGAGTTTCTGTAAAAATTCTTTTATCACCATTGGAAACTGAAATATTGACTCGGATGAGTTTAGAAATATGTTTGTGACCTCGATGAAAAAATGCCAAACCTCACAGTGAAGTCTAAAACGAACCAAATATTGAAATCGTTCAAAATGTTTTAATTTGAAATAAAAAAAATTTAATCTGGGAATAATTTGAATATTTTTATTAAAAAATTGGGGATTTTTGAGTCAAATGAAGCAGATCAAAACATACGATATCTCAACTGGTAAGAAACAACACAAAAAAATCAATGACCTTTATGTTTGTGTCGTTTTAGATGTGATTTATGTAATTTTTCACATGAACTTGCCGCCAATTTAGAATATATTCATGATTCAAAAATATTTTTTCAGGATGTAATCGAAATCAGAATAAGCTACCCAACAGTACAGTACCTGTAATGGCCATTCCGCCTGGTACTTGAAATGACATTCTGCCAAAAGTATTCATTAATTCCCCAGAATCTGGATGAAACGCTGATTGCTCTAGATGTCTCGCTTTCCAAATCTGCTCAACAGTAGTTCCATGAGGCATCATTCCACGTTTAAAATCATTTACAAGATTGCGAGCAGCCTCTAGTTCTTTTTGACTCGCAATTGCAAGACGGGGATCAGTAATACTCGCAAAATGTCGTAATCTCCCAAAAAATGTGCCCTGGTCCCATCTGGGCTTTGTGACATCAAAATTGAACTCCTTCGGGAGTAAGAATTTTTCTTCCCCCATTTTGAAGATGTGAAATGTAAACTGTATTTTACAACAGAACCATATCTATTTTTTACCTGGTAAATACTGTAAATTGTAACAAATAGCAATAAAAGGGCCGTAGTTTAGTACAACAAGACTCCCAATGGGCGTAGCATAATGATTTTGCATAATAAGTTTGCTCGATTTTGGGTGATCGTCTGCGCATTTTAGACGACCACCCGTATACTTTGGCGGGCCCTATTACGTGGCGTCATTATTGGGCGCTCCAGAAGTATGTGTACCAATATGGAGATAACTAATTTTGTTCGCCCACTTTACATCAAGTTTAAGGGCCTCTGGGCAGGGAGTCTATTTATTTAGCTAACACAGACAGTCCCCGAACTCGTAATGAAACTAAAATAAGGAAAATCAAAATAAAATCATGGCCTAACCCTAACCTGGTACACATACTACGGGAGAACCCATTTTTAGATAACGTAATCAGGTGTGGAGGGTTAGGAATGTGCAAAATGACATATGCAAAAATTGTTGAGCCAGACCGACTAAAAGTACCTATGGTACTAAACTACACCAGACCCCAATAAAATAATAGATTGTTGTTTTGCAGCAAACAATTTAAAACATTTCATAAATTTATAACAATGGAATTTCTTTGATTGATAAACATTAAAACAGAAAAACATTTCCAGCATGCATCAAATTACATGTGCTAAATCCGAACATTGCTGCATAACTTAGCTCGGATACGCTCGCCACCGCACCTCTAATTATCCTGTGTAGGTTCGCAAGTTCGAATCCCATGCAGGGTTTATTACGTGCGACAGGATTGCTGGACTCTTCGCCGTCGTGGGGTGGTTTACGTAACCGCTGGTCGGTTACGGCTTCCTCTACCATCAAGTCCATGCTCCCGAGAAAATAATAACTAGCTAACTAATTCCATACCCGACATGGAATGGTAACCGAACGAGAGGCCGAGGTTGTCTTATTGTCCTACCTCTTCAACCGGGATAAATAGGTCAATCCTATCCTAGCACCATGCAGCTAGAAACATTTCATCTTTATCTAAGGTTTTGTTTGCTTTCCTGATTTCAAAATAAATTTTTATTTATTCGTTTTTATCATCATTTCATCACCTGTTATGCTGATTATGGAGTTAAAATAAACTTATAGGTATATGAGTATATTATATACTTGTGTTTTTAGATTTTTGGATTTAGAAAAACCAAATATGGCACCGATATCCAACTGAAACTCTCTTTCTGCCATTGTTCAAATTTATATTTAGTTTCCATGGCAATCTCCACAAACAGTTCTCACTAACCATAAATACCCATTGATGTGAAACTTAAGTGTTTATCGTCAATACGATTAAGAAAACGGTATATCATATCAAAGTCGGCACAGAAGTATGTTTGCCAATATGAAGGGAACTAATTTCTTTACATCAAGTTGTGTAAAGGGACTGAAACCTATGGGCAGGGGGTATATTCACTTGGTTAACACAGACAGTGTCCGAACTCGTAATAGAACTAAAATAAGAAAAATCAAAATAAAATTATGCCCTAACCTGGTACACATACTACGAGAGTACCTCAAAGTCTATTCTTAAGCTAAATTGCTGCACAAAATTGTGGACTAATATTTTTGCATAAATTTGGAATATTGATCTATTTGAAGACAAATGGGATATTACAGTATAAAATATACCTTCATTAATTATTATTTAGTAGACAAAGCTTTCTGAGGCAAATTTATAAAATAACACCTCTATAGCTAGGAAATATGGTACTCCCAAAGTATGTGAACCAAGATGGCGGACACCGGAACGTAGTATGTGTACCAGGTTAGGGTTAGGCCATAATTTCAGGTACAAGTACTACAGGAGTCACATGGCTAGTCCCTGAACTTGTAATAGAACTAAACTAAGGAAAATTGGAATGAAATTATGGCCTAACCCTAACCTGGTACATACTACGCTTCAGTTTCTGCGATCTTGGTTCACATACTTTGGGAGTACCGGCAATATTATAAAATGAATATGGGCTGTACCAATATAATCCTTTGACAGATGCATATTCTAACCATTTTTTATAAGCATAATTGCTTTGCAGAGTTATTGAACGTCTCTTTTCATTAAGTTGAAAATATATAAAACCAATGTTTGAGGGCAGCTATAAGCCCTTATTAAAATAAACATAATCCAATTCTTTGCCTAACTTAGCTCGAATAGATTCTTGGACTTCAGGTTCCAGCTTTGAGAATTTATATTTGGATATTTGCGGAAAGAGAGCGCAAGATATGGGGACCATGACTAAAAGAACAACTCCCGAGCCCATAACTTGGAAAGGTAAATGCGCCCATTTGTGATTTCTCCAAAACTTTGTGTGCTTTATTCTCTCGACTATGAGTGGAAGTAAAATAAATCCTGGAGCTCCCATAACGACTCGAGATATTACAACTTGCGTAATTCCCTTGATCGCACATTTTCTGGAATTTCCAACAGGTTGGTTATGTTCGTCCGTGATTACAATTCCCGAAATTATCTCTGATTGTCGAGAAAGTGGGATATTGACTGCATTTGCTGACGATACGGCCACTAAAGGAACCCATCTTGCCAGAATTGGTGTGGCCAAAGCCGCAGATCTGGAAATATATAAAACTAAACATCACTTTTTCTGCAGCAGGAAAAATCTTTTAAAATATAATATATCCCCATGTAACAATGCACAAATAATGAAACATATTTCATTGCCGAAGTTATATCAGTTTTAGATAACACGATGTTGCCCCAGTGAGAATTTGAAAGAAACCAAGGCAGCAGCAAAGACCAATAAAAAAATGGAAAGAAGTGACTGGAAGCATCTAGCGCTCATCAACAGCCCAACCCTAACAAGGTACACATACTACGTAAGTACCAAGTCTCTCACAATAAACTAACCTATTCAACCAAACAGCAACTCCCACTCCAGTAACGGTTGCTGTAAGATATGCAAAGAACATCTGCTTTTTAGTGATCGTCGAAGCTGCGTTTCTATTCGTATAATTCACCAGAGCATTGTAGGATTGATTCATCCATTGCATAGACGCCACTTGGAACGGGGTCTTGTAAAATTGAAGCAGAAACCCTTGAAAAAATGAAAAATGTTTTCAGTGCATGGTTTGAGATTAGATATTGGCTGACTCTCTCAAATTAGATTAACAGAAAGTTAATGATAACTCAATACCAGGATAATACCCCAAAGTCAACTAGACTCTAAGGCTATAATAAAGTACTGCGATCCCAAAAATAGCCCCCAGTGAGTGCAACCCCCCTTTACGGGACAGTATGGGCCTCCATTATCCGCAAACCAGCTTTCCACAATAAACTAAAGGGGGGTGCAATCTAAAACGTCGCCATTGGATCCCTCTAAAAAATCAATCTGATTTACCGAAAAAAAAAATTTTTACTCTACCATTCGAGAATTATCTGTAAAAAGACAAAAGTGACGACTGCGATACGTTTAGATTACTGTTGAGACAAGCATGGTGCAATCTGACGCTTTTGCCGTTGTATCAGATGCCCTCATTTCAGAGACAAATAGAGTTTGTTCTATTGAACCAAATGTCGGGACATCTTAGAATTGGAGAACTGTGCCCTACTGTCAATTAATATTATAAAAACTAGACTCAACAGTGCCTGTTATAGACATTCCGTCTGGCATTTGAAATGACATTCTGCGAAAAGTATCGATTAATTCTCCAGAACGTTAATTGATCTAGATGTCTTGCTTTAGGCATCGTACCCTCAGGCATCGACTTCCTTGTTTATATCCGTCACATTGGCCAATTAAAAAGATTTACGGGGACGTAAAAATTGTTAATTCAGCATCCTTTTAGTCACTCAGGCATGAGATAGAATTTTAGGGTCTCCTGTAGTTTCGTACCTAAAGTACTTCTAGTGGGCATAGCATAACGATTTTTGCACATGTAAATCCCAACCCCCACCTGACTACGCCATCCAAGAAATACGTTACTACGACGTGACAAACACGTCATAGAGCTTGCCAAGGAATACCTACGATCCCCCGAAATGACACTGTTACGTAGTGGTGACGTAATTTTAAACTAGTTACACAATTTCGGAGAACTGTGTCGCACTGCAATATCAGGATAATACCTTGAAGTCTAATAAACTCTATCTAATATCTATTAGTTCTAAAAAAACTAGACCCAACGGTACCTGTAATAGCCGTTCTGCCTGTCACTTGGAACGACATTCTGCCATAAATATTCATTAATTCTCCAGAATCTGGATGAAACGCTGATTGCTCTAGATGTCTCGCTTTCCAAATCTGCTCCACAGTAGTTCCACGAGGCATCATACCACATTTAAAATCATCTACAAGATTGCGAGCAGCCTCTAGTTCTTTTTGACCCGCAATTGCAAGACGAGGATCGGTAATACTCACAAAATGTCGTAATCTCCCAAAAAATGTGCCCTGGTCCCATCTGGGCTTTGTGATGTCAAAATTAAATTCCTTCAAGACTGAAATTTTTTCCTTCCCCATTTTAAAGTTGAGAAATGTTAAATGTTTTTATACAACAGAATCATATTCCTTTTTACTTTACTTCCTTTAATACTATAAAGTGTAACAAATAGGAAAAAAATAAAAAAAGATTTTGTTAATGGGTTAGTAATTATTAATGATAATTGTTAATTATCACAAGTTTATTTCAAAATCAGCATAACAGGCAATAAAATTATTGATAAAAACAAATAAATAAAAACTGATCGTGAAATCAGAAGAGCAAACAAAACCTTAGATAAGGTTTGAAACATACAGAATATAAGATGGAAGGTTTTGCAAAGAAGAAGTGGTACCGGTACCGCACATGTTCATTCACTTAAAATTATTAAATTAATTCACACACACTTACCTTACCACTGTACCACACACACACCCACAGAGATAAATTACATAGTAATCATTTTCTATCAATTCTTACATTTGTAGCATTTGAATTCCACCTCTGTCAGTCTGTGATTGATAACCACTAGACTAGCCTACTGCACTGCCTGACTGCACTAAAACATGGAAGCATTTTCAGCACGCTTAAATTACATGTGCTAATCCGCATATTGCTGCATTAGCAACAGGCAGCCAGAATCATTTTAGCCGTAAGCATTTTCAAATTTCTGGATTTAAATAGGGTACGGTAACCAAAACGGCACCGGTACCGGTACTTACTGGCAGTGGCAGACAGTAACTAAATACTGAAATATTCTCTCTCGTTGGTCAAACTTTTATTTAGTTTACATGGCAATCTTCCCTCACACAATTTCTCACTAATCTAAACGTGGTGCGACAACCCAATTTAAATCACATTACACAAATCGCTAGAATAAACGCTGCAAACTTGGCAATGTAAACAAGCAAAAGAGACTTCCACGTCAAACGCAACACGAAATCCACATTCAAGCTTGGTCACGGAATCCTCAATAACATTAGGTGTGGTTGTCGGAGTTGAGTCTTTGTATTGAGTTCGCCTGATGTTTCCTGGATTATTTATTCCGTAATATTGGTCAATTAACAGGATTTATGGGCAGTGTAACACTTGTCATCCTCCCCGACAGATTTTCAGACCTGGTTCTAAATTTCTGCCCGTTCCATTTTGCCTGTCATTTGTGAGTTTTTAGTTGTGTTTCGTAAATTTAGGTATAACCAAATTTTCATCTTGCTTACCGAGGATTTTAGGTTCAGTTGCAAAAATCAAAATTAGTCCTAGAAAAATTTTGTGAAACTGGACTAAAATCAGCAATCAGTACGGTTTAAATAGCAAGTTGTTAAATATTCGCAGAATCGTATTTTTAGGAATTTGTTTTTCCATTTAAAATTATAAATACGACTACATAAATCAACATAAAATTATCTCATGTATCGTATTTGAAATATACAAAATAAAATTTCGCCCTAAACGAATATTTCCTGCTGCTAATGCGTACGTATGTATATAAAGTAATATTTGTTGTATACGCGACCGTTTCATATTTTGCTGTAAATGAAAAAACAAAAAGATGCTATTTTTCTTTCAGAGTATTTATTTTATTGTTAATGTGCAGCTTATTCTCCGCTGTTCTTATTTTGTTCAATGTTTGACATCTTTTAATTGATTTTGATGTTATTTTTCGTGTGTTTTTGACAGCGTGATTTACTGTTTTTGGTTGACGGGCACAATTTTGTACGTTTTTAACTTTATCTAAATATGCACACCTTCCGGGTATTGTTTATTCTAAAAATATGCAACGGAATGAATACGCACCAGTGCATTTTACATGACACGAAGTCGCAGTGGTATTAATTTTGGATGCCATATTGAATAAAGATTTTACAATAATAACGTTGTATATTAAATTAACTCACAATTTTACTGACAAAAACTTTATTAATTTTGAAGGCACTGTTATTTTGATTTAAATGTTCAATAAGAAGTGATAGAATTCCAATTTTATTTGATAATGATGTCTACGCCAGCGACAATGTGTCGGGATAAACTGGCAACTGTCATTTCAATACACGTCAAACGAGTTTCTGATTTTAAGATTTTAGGAAATTGCGAGGAAATATTCGCTCATAGCGTTTCTGTATGATAGTATTGTCATTAGTTTCAGTTCGTAATATATAAAGTAGATTGTGTATGTTTATGCTCATTCAAAGTGGTTAGACAAAACGTTACAAATTACTGTTTCGCTTTTTATTAATTATGTTTTTGTTTTGTATATGTTTTCTGATGGACAAAACAAGTAGTCTAACTCTCTCTCTTCGTTCAGTCTTTTTTTTTCTTAAATCATTATATTTCTTAGTTATTAATTATTATGGTACCGGTACCGTACTCAGAGAAACCTGTTACTGCTGCCTCGCTCTCTGTTGGTATTAGTCAGTTGTTATGTAACAGTTACCATACCCGGTACTAAAGTACCGTAAAAGGATAGGATAGGATAGGATTTACATATTTATCCCGGGGGAGAGTAAAGCCGATAAGACGGCTTATCCATATGGCGAACCACGGCCTCTCGTCCGGTTACCATTCCAAGTCGGGTATGTGATTAGTTTTTACTGTATTGTTTGTTTTGGGAAGCATGGACTTGGTGGTGGAGGAAGCCGTAACCGACCAGCGGTTACGTGAACCACCCAACGACGGCGAGGAGTCCAGCAATCCTCTCGCACATAACCATCCCTGCATGGGATTCGAACCTGCGAACTCACGCAGAGTAATTAGAGGTGCGGTGGCGAGCGTATTCCTAACGCTTAGCCCGTTGAGCCACACCGCCTAACTGGTTAACTTAACTTCGGATGATTTCACTATACTTCAATCAATATCTCTGCCGTTTGTTGTCCAATTCGCATAAAATTCGGAATTTCTTTACATTGATGTAATTCTCTGCGCATGATTCAATTTTCGCGTCGATCGGATCATTTGTTCTGTCTTAATTGTCTCATTTTTCACTACACCACTAAATATTTAACTTCAGATGGGAAATTACCTGCCTGCGTCAGGCAACTCGAGCGAAAATTGCGTGCGTGAAGACAAAACACGCTTTACGTCGTTGCGTAAATGCCAGATGTTCAATCCACGTCGCGAGCGGCGGTGATATTGACGACCGTGGGATTTCTAGTGCGGCACTTTCAAGTTGTTTTTATACTAAAATGTCTCGTTTTATTTTCTCTTATCGCAACTTTAGATCCGAATATTCACCGATCATAGCCGATGTTGATATAGCCAATAATGTTTTGATAGCGTTTGTATGTTCCACATCGTATAAAGTCGCACAATAAAACCGGATTCTTTATTAAATTGACCTATTAATATGTCGGTCGTGCATAAATCAGACAGAACACCGATTTGGCAACTTTGATTTAAATTAAATTCATTAAACGGGACTCACTTGCAACAATGATTCTTGTTATTTATCGCTGATTATATATTTTTATATTTACGCAGCATTTCTTGACTGCTTACAATTTTTCTATTTTAAACCATGCTGCCGTTCCAAATGTGGGAATTTGAGTCGTCAAATAGAACGAAAATATATTTCGTTAATTGCCATTTTAATAAATTTAATTACGGAAAACTACATTTCCAACATTTGACGACATGAATTTAAGATCCATAGAAAACTGTTGATTTGTATATTTTAGCCGATATTGATCCAATCGAACAAAATATCGCTGTTATTTTCAAATCTACGCCAACTCGTCGGCGCCCGAAAGTCTGGCTCAAATCTGTAACGGCGACGCAACATGACGTCGTCTTCGAAGCGAGAGACGTCGGGGTGACGTCAGTTCAATGTGTGCGTCAGATGCTATTATTTTGATATGAAAAGACTATTTGATTTTTAATTGTTTTTTGAGTCTCCTGCGACATCTCGTGATCAGTCTAATTTTGTATATACATTGATAACGCCCTCTATCGAATGACGGTAGTTTGACAAAGTTAGCATCAGTAGAAGTCACGATTTGAGCCGCTCGAAAACGGAGTGTCAATTTTATGCTAAAACGAGATTTTTTTAATCAAAAAATAAATTGAACTGCGCGATTGAATATTATAACAGATTGAGATATATAAGGACTCACTATAGAAACTGCTAGAAGCACAATATGACGCTATTTATCCGAGATATAAACGATTGAAAATTTCATCCGAAGTTAGCCGGTTTTACGGTATTCGGGCCTGGTATAGTTTAGTACCACAAGTACTTCCAGTGGGCGTAGCATAACGAATTTTGCATATGCTATTCCTAACCCCCACCTGACTATGCCAGGAGAGAGATCGCCGGCTTTAGCAAGTTCGTTATCGGCGGTGCAGATGCCATTTCGGGTGATCGTAATTATACTTCAGCAAGCCCAATGACGTGATGGTGACGTCGTAGTGACATAATTTTTGGATGGCATAGTCAGGTGGGGGTTAGGAATAACATATGCAAAATTCGGGTCTCATGTAGTTTTGTACCTAACACATTTCTAGTGGGCGAAGCATAACAATTTTTCAATGTGTCAATCCTAACCCCCACTTGACTACGCCATCCAAAAATGACGTCACTACGGCGTCACAGTGACGTAATAGAGACCTTCAAACTATATGAACTGTCCAAGACTCGCAGACGATCACCCGAAATCGAACAGTTATTTCTCTTGTTTTCTCGTCGCAGCGATCCGGGAGAGATCGCTGACGTTAGTTAGTTCTTTTATCTCCATTTCAGGCATGGTTATGCCAAGCCCACAAGAAGTACTTGTGGTACTAAACTTTGCTAGACCCCAATAATAAATAACTCGCAGTGGAGCTACTACAAAAAAGAGTCACTGATATTACATATTATGAATATTATCAATGAAATTGTTTTGTAGAATTTGTCATCTTGCTTCAATCCTAGTTTCAACTTTTTGATCTACCGTATATGCTTATATTCGTTGCTTATATGCAAACTTTTATAAAATCGCTGTTTTAAGACCGTTTTTAGGGAGTCGGCTTAAATATGCGTGACCGGCATATATACGAGAAAATACGGTAAGTATGTTAATATATGACTATTTCTTTATATTTACAAGCAGAAAAATTTGGTTTAAATTAACAAATAGATGAATTATCGACTTATCTAGTAATACAGCTAACCACTGAAGGATATAACATCACTTGTGAAACTGACCAGCGGGTACAATAGGCAGCATAATGAAACTGCTTATTAGTCTCTGCTTTTTCGCTGTTTTGAATCTTTCTAATTCGTTTTACGTTCCTGGAGTTGCTCCGTCTGAATTTAAAGCAGGAGATACGGTGGAAATAAAGGTGAGCCCCCAAGATTTCTATATTCTATCTGGAAATACAGAATTTAATTTTGACTTTTTATAAAGAAAGGAGCTTCAAATTCTGGTGAATCCTCAAATTATAGAAAAATATTGTTTGTTTTTGATCATCGTCAAAGACTTAATTTTAATAAGTTTAATAAAAAATATTTTATACTTTCAGTGAATGCGTTTTCTCAAAATTAGGCATTTTCTGATACGACCAGTTATGGTATCACCATGTTGGTATTGAGTTCATATTATTTTATCCAATCACACTTAAATGCTTCTAAATGTAATAGTTTATGCTTTTAATATAGACAGCAGAAAGTGTATTTCTATAAAATTAAGCTTATTCTGGCAAGTTTATATCAACTTAACTAACTCTTTTATCAAGCAACACTTTTATTAATTTTGAATGCACTATTATTTTCATTCAAATTTATAATAAAAAGTGATAAAATGGTACTTTTATAATATAAAAATGTCTACACCAGTGACAATGGGTGACTTTAAACTGGCAACTGTTATTTCAATAATACACGTCAAACGAGTTTCTGATTTTAAGATTTAGGAAATATCAAGGAAATTTGGTAGTATTGTCATTAGTTTTACTTGGTCATATTGAAGATATATTTTGTATATTTATGCTCATTTTTAAAGTGACTAGGCCAAACATTGTAATTTATATTAATAAAATAAGCCAGACTCTTTGTTCAGCCATTTTTCTTTCTCAAAAATTATTCAATTTCTGTATTGTTAATTATCAGGGTACAGTACTACTGCTGTACAACAGTACCATGTTACTTTTTATAATTTATACTTACAATACAACCAGCAAAACATATATTCTGGTAAAATTGAATAAATCTGACCGGTTCCGCTTAAATTATCCTAAATTGACTTTTAATTCAGGCAGCAAAAATTATATTATTATGAAATTAGGATTATTCTGACCTGTTCCGCTTGATTGATTTTAAATTTATTTTTAATTCAGGCAGTAAAGATGACAAGCTCTAAGACACAACTTCCATATGAATATTACACTTTACCATTCTGTCAACCTTCTTCCATAGAGCACAAGACTGAGAATTTGGGTGAGTATTATCACCAAGTCTCTGAGGAAAATTTCACAAATTCCTCTAAAAGAGTCGTAACGATTTTTGCAAGGTTTTTGGTGTTGTTGACCGTTTTTCGCGGTCACAGATGAATATTTGTGTCATGCTTCGTTTGGTCTAGTTTACACTTCCTTAGAGAAACATAAATATGTCTAAAAAAGTGATTGCATGCGATTGATAATACAGGGTGTCTCAAAAGTAAGTTAAGGCTGTTAAAGAGGCGATGAGTTTGCCTGATTTATATACTTCTTGCCTAACAGCAATTTTGCTCATTTATTGGTTTAATTTCCTTGTCATTCTGTAGGTTGTTGAAAAATGCAAACAATATCTAAATTTTACTACTCATCCATACTATGTTTTCTGAAGAGATGAACGCTCTATACCCGAAAAGCAAATCATAATTAGAGGTTTATACTTACCTTTGAGACACCCTATATAATCAGCATTATACATTTTCTCTCTGCATGCAAACTCGCAAATTCACAAAGGATTTGTGGTTCAATTTTTTGTGTGTTCGATTTTTTTTTGGTGTAAACTTATGTTTAAATAAATGGTAAATCTTTAATATTGTTTAGGAGCATGCATTGCCTTTGGATCGGTGATTACCAGCAAATTCGCAAATTCGAATTATGTGAGGCAGGGTTCTTTACAAAATATTCATTTGATCAAATTATTTTTCATCTCCAGGGGGGTTTTACGAGGCGACTGAATTGTCAACTCACAAATTAGAATTCTGCGAGGTGGGGTACTTTTCAAAATATTCATTTGATCGGATTTTTTGTAACCCAGGGGGGGTTTTACGAGGCGACTGAATTGTCCAATCGCAATCCAAATTCGGTGTGGCAGGGTACTTTCCAAAATATTTATTTGATCGAATTATTTTTCACCTCCAGGGGAGGTTCTACGAGGCGATCGAATTGTCAACACATTGTTCAAAGCAGTAATGAAGAAACCTACACCCTGTACTGTGATGTGCACTTCTGAAAAGTTTGACGGAAAAATGGCGAAAACTATCATTCAACGGATTAAAGATGAATATTCTGTGCATTTGTAAGTTATCTCTGAATTAAGCTTTGGTTCTTCTCTGGTGATATTGTTTTTCAAATCTATGAAAAACATGACGAAAACGATTGCAGCTTGCTTTTGTGTGAACGTTTTAGATCTTTTTCTTTGGCATCCATATGGCCATGGATAGAACTTAGGTTTCTGTATCCAAAAAGTCCAGTGATAATTGACGCATTGCACAAAAGGTATGTCTAAAATGAGCTTGGTTCTGTTTTTGAGTCCCCTGTACCTAAATATGCGGTTGGCAGTGCTTACTTCTGAGCGCTCTTAATTAGATTCACGCTTCTAGGATATGCAGGATAACAACAGCGGTACAGTACGTGACGCAATGTCGAATAGCCCACACACACATTGAAAGTTATCTGTTCTCAATTGTATAAACCTCGCTGGATTTTTTCTGTAATACAAATCACAGAGTCGTGTCGTAGAGACAATTTAACTTTATCAACATTAAATTACTTTAACGAAAAGTTTTATAACAAATGCACAATTAGTCAATGCGATAGATGAGATAGTTTTGTAAGAGATCACTAATATAATTGTTACAACAGGGTCCCCAACCTTTTGTGGTTTGTGGCCCTAGTTCCTTCTGGCGGTTTTTAGCACTCCTGGCCTCGTGTTTGTCACTCCGGAAGTATTTATAGTGTTATTATGATTGGTAGGCTCCAAATCCCATTATTTTCAAACAATTTATGCTCAACAAAGTGAAAACACCCTGTGAAATAGACTCATCAAATAATAAAAGAGAATATCGGTCAGAGACCGAAGACTTATCGATCGAAAGTTAGGGGATCCCCCAAAACAGCGCTCGTACTCCATAGTGACACCTTGTGTGTCTCATCAATAATTAATTAATAACTCGCTAATTATACGACATAATTCGCCCAAAATCAATAGGCTTCTGGTCCGAGATGAAATGATGCACATGCAAAGTCTGGAGCAGATTCAATCTTGCTTTCGTGAGATATCGTGTGCATCTAACAGACAGACAGACAGACAAATACCTATCACCATACTTACCGATTAAAATCGATAAGTAACTAGGGGGAAGGGTGAGTTTTTTTGCACTCCTCTATGGCCCTCTTGGGGGCTGGGGACTCCCATTTTATCATTACTGTCATAAATGATCGCATTGCAACTTATTAATGTCCGATATCCCCATTCGTAATTTTCTGGTTATGTTTTAACAACTTTTGTTAAACAACTACTATTCTCATGGCAGGTTGTGTGACAATCTTCCCTCTGCTACCAGATGGGCTTTGAGCCAATCAGAAGTGCAACTTGAACACGGATATAAACTTGGAATATTCGATTCTGGGAAGGCCTACATTAACAACCATCTGTCAATATTGTTGTTGTAAGTACTTTTTACCTTTTTTGTTCATGAATCGTTTTAAACAAGGGGATTTACATGCAGCCATCGGAGTTATTATTTTTTGAATATTTAAGATGTTATGTTCAGGATAGGTTAGGAGTCCGTAAGCCTTGTGTCACTGGTTGCCAGAGTTTGAGTCTTTTTAATACTGAGTTGAGCCTCATTGGCGAATTTTTGAGTACGAATCCGAGTATTTCATTTAGATGACTATGGTCACTCGGTGGCCAACTTAAGATGAGTCAATGACTAGAGCTGTTCCCGACCTCGGGGCCCCATTTCGAAGAATTTTAGAACTCATGGCCCCCTGTTTTTCATTCCAGTGGTATTTATAGTGTGAAACTATGGAGAACGTGAAATTATCTTCTAAAGGAAAAGTATATAAACAAAATCCCATTAAAATTAATTTTGAGCTTTTCATTGTGGCCCTCCAACTGTTCCCCCTGGGGTGCCATGAGCTCGCGGTTGGGCACAGCTGGACTAGTCTCCCCGGGACTTTCAGCAGCCACTATTAAGTAAGGAGTTTTTGGAAGTTGACAAGGATGATGAATGTTCGAAAACTACTGGCCTGACTCTGGTAAAATCCTGTTTAATATCACGTCCAAAAATCAATAAAATAACAAAGTTACCTTCCAACCCAGGTACAACGCAAATGAGGACGATTTAGACACATATCGAGTCGTTGGGTTCGAGGTTATGCCCCAGAGCGTTGATTCATCCCTGCTTGAGGAAGGAAAGAATTGTTCCGTTACCCCTAAAGGTGTGATGAAACGACAAGAAATAACGGAAAAAACAACTTCAATCAAGTTTTCTTACGATGTCGTATGGGTGGTGAGCAGAGTTTCCAGTTTTTGCATGTGACACTTATTTGCACCTTTAAATGCCTACTGACGCCTTACACACCGACCGAAGGGCCGCTGCACAGGCAGCCATATTTGGAACAGGGCTCCCAAACTTTTAAGCTCGCTACCTCTTCCAATATAATAAAATTTTCCACGACTCCAGTTCACGTCTAAAATGCTAAACAGTTCGATGCAAGCGCCGCTTCGCAAGTCTTGCAAACAAGGCTGGCATCGTTATGCAACCGTGCCGCTTCTTTGATCATATGTATTCCTCGCAAAATTGTGAGACTTATTTTTAGAAATATGACTTTGACTTAGAATCCTATATTATATAAAATCTTTTTCTGCAGAAAAGCAACATCCGTTGGGCATCAAGATGGGACAATTATCTTCAGATGGGAGATGTCCAGATTCATTGGTTCTCAATCATCAATTCTATCGTTGTTGTGCTGTTTTTGGCAGGTTAGTGTATATTGGATTAACTGGCGGCATATCCTCTCAGATAAGCCGAGTTTGAAAGTGAAAAAAAAACGTGCTGTTTTCTCATTGGTCAGTTATTCCAAGTTGACAAATAATTGGACGCAATGTAGATCACAACATAAGTTAATAGTCACTGGCTTATTTTTAAGGGATTTCTTTTATATTCATTTATGCCGGGTCATTGAATCTTTTTCTTTTTCACACATTTTGGATTAATCATTTAAAACGTGTAGGAGAGATGTCTTGCTATCGACTAGGTAAAAAAAATTATTTTGCGCTATTGATTAGGTCTTTTATCAGAATCATTTTTGAAATTCCAGCTAGATCTTATTTTTGGGGAAACACGGTAATAAACCAATATTCTAGAATTGCTTATAAATAATATTACCATTTCATAACCAAAGTTCTTGTTTTACAGGTATTCTTACAATGATCATTGTTCGAACCCTACGTCGCGACATCGCAAATTATAATCGAGAAGATGATGAATTAGATGATGCAATTGAAGAAACAGGGTGGAAATTAGTCCATGGTGATGTTTTTCGCCCTCCGAAAAATGTAAGTGACTGTTAAACATGCAATGTAACTGTGGACAGATTCGCCAAATGCTTGAAATTATTGTCAACAGCACATTTTCCACCTTATGTTAAAGGCTGGGGGCTTGCTTTCAGTTGACTTATATTAAATGCTCATGGCAGCTCATTGGCTAGAGCAGTGGTTCTCAAACGGTGGGGACGGGCCCCAGAATGGGAGCGAAAGCAATTTTTTGAAATTATTTGTTGGTTTTGATCTTGCCTGCCTTATTTTGGATATTTACATTTTTTTATTGTTTAGAAATTGCAATTCCACACACATATTTTTAACCTGTTTTTTAAATTAAACATACTTCCGCTTTCGTTATTTTTGAGTTGAGGCGGGAGTCTTGACAAATTCTAGAAAGGGTGCGTCAACGGATTGAAAAGTTATCATTTATTTCAATATTTATGTTCCATCCACATATTTTCAATGTGTTTTTTTACATAAAACATATTTTTTCAAAAAGGAACGGATTGGCATTGCAAGTCATCCTTATCCTTCCAAAAGCAGTAGCTCATTTTGTTTTATCAACCGCTTGTTCAAAATAAAAATGTGAAAAAAAACTCATAATAATATGGACTGAGACTCCTCATTATCTCCTCCACATTATGGACTCTCTCTCTTCAGAGTGGTTTAAAACTTAAAAACTGTAAATTTGCAGTTTCTTATGTATCTGTAACTGCTTGCTTTAAACCTTGTTTGGAGTCAAAATAATAGATAAATAACAATTCCTTATTCACTCTTCCAGATTATGCTTCTAGTCTCACTCATTGGTGCAGGAGTCCAATTATTTGGGATGGCAATCATCACGATATGTGTGGCCATGCTAGGTATGCTGAGTCCATCAAGCAGAGGGGGATTACTGTCAGCATCTTTCCTGCTTTATGTATTCTTAGGGTGAGTATGTTTTACTGAATTTTCATTATCTCGCAGCTAGAATGCCATGTCCGGTCGCTTAAATATTCATTCGCCAACTTAGCCAACAAGTTAGTTGGCAGTAAAAATTTGTTGAAAAATTACATTTTTTTCGATCGTTTCGTTTTTGGCCAAATTTAAGAATTCAGAGTTTCGGGTGTTTTAAAACTTTCAAAAGTAGTCCAAATTCTGAATTTTTTGGCGTTTTACTTTCAATAATGGTAATCGAAGTCAAAATTTTCGACATGATCTCATCAATATTCAGTTTATTAGGTGTTCTAACAGTCTATCAAAAAAGGCTTGCCTGTACCGAAGGTTCTATTATTATAGAGATAAATTGATTCATCAGGAGCCTGGCTTGAGAATCCTTACAACCCATACCTGAAGCCATTTTTTTTCTAGATTCGGAACTCCAACTCCTTAGAGCCCCTTTTAGAAGTAAGGTCACATGTCATAACCGATATATAATTTTTTTCTTTCCTATGATTCCAGGGTATTCGGTGGTTACTTCTCTGGCCGTCTTTACAAAAGTTTGAAAGGTCAGCTATGGAAGCGAGCTGCTATACAGACAGCTACAATATATCCCGGTGTTGGGTTTGGGATTGCATTCTTACTCAACTTTTTTATCTGGGGAAAACACTCGTCTGGCGCTGTGAGTATTTTTTGCAATATTTTAAAAAAGTCACGAGTTTTGTCTTGTTTTTTTATATGTGAAAATTATTTTGCGTATTTAGCTCTGAATGAGGTCCTGTATTAGCAGCCACCTTCATGTGAGAATCTAACATCTGAAACAAAATAATAACTGACTAACTAATCCCATACCCGACATGGACTGGTAACCGGACGATAGGCAGCGGTTCTCCATACGATTAAATCGTCTTTCCAGCTTCTTTCTCCTTGATAAGTACGAAAATCATAACTTTATGTCTATTATAACCTCATTTTATTTCTCATAGGTTCCATTCTCTACGATGATTGCGATTTTGGCGTTATGGTTTGGAGTATCACTCCCTCTAGTGTTCATTGGATATTACTTTGGATATCGCAAGCAACCATACGACTACCCAGTACGAACCAATCAAATTCCACGACAAGTTCCAGAACAATTAGTCTACATGAATCCGTTTATCAGGTAGAGTGTTATTCAAGGTTTTTCAAAACAGATGGTTCTGGGGTATTTTGCACCAAAATACAGGTGGTGAAAAAGTTACACAAAATAAAAGTAAATGTTAAAAAGTGTCAGTCGTGAAATGTTTAAATGGCATTTTACCGTAATTCAATACTGTTAAAAGGTGTCATTCATTAAATGTTTTGAGTAGCATTTCATCTTAACTTCTGTTAATTCTGTGTTACTTTTTTAACACTCATGTACAAGTCCTTTCTTTTTGTCCTTTCTTCTTACTTCCTACTTCGGATCCGTATGTGTTGCCACAAGATGTTTGAACGAGACGAGTATTGAAAATATGATTCGCTATTATTATGTTATGTTATAATAATATTCATTGTTTAATTCAATTTTCGCTTATTGACTTTTTCTACGCATCGCAGGTACAAATCCGCAAAAGAAGAAAAGTTTTGCAACGCCCTATCAATATTGAAACGACGCACTTGGGCGTCAATAGCGTTGTGACAAAAGCGCTTCTTATTTCCTATTGTTCTCTACCACTGAAAAATCAGCTTTTACTACATCGGGCGGGTATTCAAGCAACGGCCCTTATTTATTTTTATGTTCTGTTCGCATGGGTGGTTCAAACGGGCTCTTAATCAAGATCAGGCGGTAAAACGGGCATGTATGTTAAACCTGGTCTAGGCATTCGATCCCACTTAGGGGCCACAGGAAGGTTCTCATGGAGCCACGAGCAAAGCTCCTAAATAGATACGATTTGCGATTATCGTATTTATTTGAAAGAAATTGAGCGATTTGGTAAATTCTTTGACTGTGATGCAATATTTCTTGTACTTTCATTTGTTTGTAGTATCATTATTAAACATGCAGTGTGAAGTAACTGATAAAATCATGTTATTATTTTTTATCTTCACAGTGTACTCATGGCTGGCATTCTACCATTCGGAGCAGTTTTCATTGAATTGTTCTTCATATTTACGGTGAGGACTTTATTTTTACGAGTAATTTCACTAAGAACAAGGCTTTAGACAAGCGGTTATGTAGGGAGCTACTAAACAAATGGAATCTTTCGGCGTGGGACCAAAGCAAGAGCATAGTCAGTAATTTTCAAAAGGGGGGGTTTTGAAATTACTCTTTGCCAAGTTAGACCATAACAGCCAGTCAGAAACGAGGATTTTACGATTCTTGAGGTTTCAGAAAACGATTCATGCTATGACAAAATGCTATGTATGACATAAAAAAATGGGGTCTCCTGTAATTTCGTACCTAACATTCTTCTAGTGGGCGTAGCATGAAGATTTTTTCATGTATCAATCCTAACCCCCACCTGACTACGGCATCCAAAAATTACGTCAACGCGACGTCACACTGACATAATAGATCCCTTCAAACTATACGACCTGCCATCCAAGACGCGCAAACGAGCACCCGAAATCGAACAGTTATTTCTTTCGTTTTTGTCGCAACGATTCCAATAGGAGAGAGATCGATAATGTTAGTCAGTTCTTTATCGTCGGCGCCAGTGCCATTTCTGGCGATTGTACGTATATTTGGCAAGCTCTATGACGTGATTTTTGGATGGCGTAGTCAGATGGGGGTTAGGATTGACATCAAAAAATTATTGTGCTACGCCCACTAGAAGTACGATAGGTACGAAACTACACGAGACCCAAAAAATGTCCTTTTTTTAAAAGGGGGGGGTTCCAACCTTCAAAATTCTTATATAGGTTGAAGTTAACACGTGAAAAGTTCACAAACATTCATTACTACCCTGAGGGCATTAAATCATTATTTATACAAAGTCTCATCTGTGAATTAGAGATACTTGAATTTCATGCCCTGAGGGTTAAGAGTATTTAGATATTTCATTCAAAATGACTTCTAAATATTTGTAATGTACGATTATGGCAGTTGCGGTAACACTCATTACATTATTATCTTGGTTTTATTATTGACATCGCGGTGTGGTGCATCGTGCTAGTCGTTAGAAATAGCCCTGTGCAGTATTTTAATTACATGAACTTGACTATGACTACTGTCTGAATTGTATAAATTAGGGTGGTCCAAGGTTGTCGGCCTCGCGGGCCGCGGCCTTCGCGGGCCACAATAGTGTCAAGAATAGGTAAACAGTGCAATACAAAACATCTTTTCAATATTTGTCATTTATCAAGCTAAAACATGCAAAAACCCCACTAAAACGTGCAAAAAAATTATTTTTGTGACGAAACAACGCCAAATGTCTTTTTTTTACTCTTCCGACAATGCGACGCGGGCCACAGATAATGTAGCGGCGGGGGCACATAAGGCCCGCGGGCCTGGGTTTGGACCACCCTGGTATAAATTATAAATATATTTCGCACCAATCTGAGCCTATTTTGACACCCTTAATTAAAACAGTCATTTATCTTTGTTTAAACATGCTTAATAATAACATCACTTAATAGGTATTTTATTATATTCAAACAATATTATACGTATATAAATACAGACTCTTGAATTTGAATGGAAACTGGCCTTGTGCCTTGTTCTATCCCCACAACTCAATCCAAATTATTAAATCTACTTGATCAAAAATAACTGAATCTTCGTTTTTCAACTAAAGATTGGTATTTTATGGTTGATAGAGGAGTATTGACAAGTGCCACACTAAATGGCTTGGCGAACCGAGTTGCTTGGCACACCACTATGCTAAAAAGCACTTTTTCAACGTAAACTGTCAGATTAGAAGTTTATGCTTGATGGGGAAAAACCTGAGTGTTGATAAGTGCCACACTAGAAGGCTTGGCGGGCCGAGTTGGGGCCCAGGGCCACCTCTCTCACACCCCTGAGCTAAAAATCATTATTTTTGCGAATGTGAACTCCTTTTTAATAAAACTGTTAGATTAATATTTTACGCTTAAGATAAAGGGAAATCTGAGTGTTGACAAGGGCCACACTAAAAGGCTTAGCGAACCGAGTTGTGGCCCGGGGGCCGCCTGTTGCACACCACTAAGCTAAATCATCTAAAACTCGACATTTCAGGCGATATGGGAGAATCAATTCTACTATCTGTTCGGATTCCTGTTCTTGGTTTTCGTTATTTTGATCATCGCTTGCAGTCAGATATCCATTGTGATGGTCTACTTCCAACTGTGCTCCGAGGTAAGATACTTTACAGCCTAGATGTGGGACAAGGAGAAATATTTATCTAATCTAAATTCTTGGCGTGATGGCCCATCAAGTGGTTCCTAAACATTTCGTCTGTGCAGCACCAATTCATCAAGACAGAAACTCACTGTGCAATTACACAATAAAAACATTATATTAACACAGCTGATAATAACAAACTATGCAAGGATTGAAATTTCAATTGTCCTGCTAAAATGCTAAACAAGGATATCGGTCAGACCGAAGACTTATTGATCGAAAGTTATTGGATCCCCCAAAACATCGCTCTTACTCCATAGTGACATCTTGTGTCCCATCACTAATTGATTGATAATTCGCTAATTATACGGCATAATTCGCCCAAAATTAATAGGCGTCTGGTCCGAAGAATGATGAATGCACATGCAAAATCTGGAGCAAATTCAATCTCGCTTTCGTGAGATATCGCGTGCATCTAACAGACATACATACATACAGACAGACAGACAAATACCTATCAACACAATAACCAATACTTTGCATTGTGGGAATTTTCTAATTGTTTTTGTACATAAAAAACTAAATTTTTTATGTGGCCTAAATAGATGTCTGAAGTTGGTTGTTGCACACCCCTAACATAAACTCTATCAATTTCTCGTTTCCAGGACTACCATTGGTGGTGGCGTTCCTTCATTGTATCTGGAGGATCGGCTTTCTATGTTTTCATCTACTCAATCTTCTATTTCTGTACCCAGGTGAGTGGCAAGGATTATAATCTTTGATGTAAATCATATGTTCATTGTGTTTCTGGCAACTAGCGTTTTCCCAGATGGCTGAGCATAATGGTTAGCAGATAGATCATGATGAGAGTTAGCTTGTCATCACACTTTTGTTTACTTTGTGTGGGTTGTTTAGTGTGAATTCTGTATAGCTATAGTGTTATGCACGAGTCTCACTCCTGCTTTTGTACAGTCTAAGTAGTTTATTATATTTGCGCAATTAAGCATCACAGAAATAATATTGGAAAATATTAGTAATTGTGCTACAAATACAAGCCAAAATTTTTCCCTAGTTGCGGAACATGGCATAACACTCTCCCCTTCAGAACTTTGCTGAATAAAAACGGGTTACTAGCCCGAATATTACTCTCTAAAATTTTGCATAACTTATGATTTTTTGCACAATGAAACTTGCAAATTTTACAGAAAATCACAGTGCCTTTTATCCACATATTTTTTTTAATTTAATAAAAATCGTGACTTTACAATAGAAGTTTCCAATTTCACAGAACACATGGAAAACCATGCTTGAACCATAAACTCCCTTTTTTTCACAGATAAATGATGATTTTGGAGTTGATTTCGTTTATCTAAATCAGTGATTCTCACTTTTTGAGCTGTCCCCTTTTTTAGAATTTGTCAAGTTTGGCGCCCCATCTCAAATATAACTAGCTAACAATAAGCTACAAATAACAGATGGTATGGGGAAAGTATGTTTTATTCGAAAAACACATTGATGATCGTTAATATCCGAAATAAAGAAATGTAAATATCCAAAATAAGGCGGGAAAAATCAGAATCTCACAAATATTTTTATTTTGAATTAGCTTCATGTCCTGTCAAAAACTTGTTTATGCCCCCCTTGTGGGCGCACCCCACCGTCCCCTCTAGTGGGCGCACCCCACCGTCTGAAAACACTGGATGAAACCATCTCTTCTTTTACAGCTTGAAATCACTGCATTCATCCCAACACTTCTCTACTTCGGCTACACATTCATTATCGTACTCACATTCTGGATTCTCACCGGCACAATTGGATTCTATGCTTCTTTTATGTTCATTAGGAAAATATACGGCCAAGTCAAAATCGATTAAAAGAAGCAAGATTGCTGGCAAAAGTGACTTAAGTCAAGCCAGTGACTTTTGGCTATAAATACTGACTGATATATATGACTCAAGTATACTCATTAGCTTTTTAGTGACTTCTATATAGCTGTTAAGTTATTACAAATTGACTCCTGTCTACATGCTGTTGTGGAAATGGCTTAAATTTAGCCACTGATGACACAAATGGCTTAAGTTCAGTCAATAACTTGGCCAACCTAACTACGAGCATAATATGATTGACTTTCTATCAGTTGACTTGTTAAAATTGACTTTTAATGACCTCCATTTGGTGCAAAATGGCTTATATCTAGCCACAGAAAGCACAAATGGCTCAAATGTAGCCACCATTGTGAAAATGGTTTGAATTCAGTCATTCACCAATATAACTATTAGCTAATGATTGACTTTCTTCTAGGTGTTTGCTTGTATAAAATTGACTTCAAGTGACTTCTATCTAATGCCAAACGGTCCACAGCTGAAATTGTTTTTGCATTTTGATTCCCTTAGTCTTTCGCATAACATAAACATAGATTATGATTGACTTGTTCTAGTCATTAACATGACTAATATTTTATAAAATTGACTTCGAATGGCTTCTATTTTGTGATAAATGGCTTAAGTTCAGACATTTTGAAAGTGGATTAAATTTAGTCATTGACCCAACCAACATAACTAGTATATATTTGATTCGTGCCTAGCTATTACCTTTTATAAAATTAACTTGAAATGGCTTCGATACAGATACTGTTGTGAAAATGGCTAAAATTCAGTCATTGGATTGGCCAACAAAACCTTTATCTGATACTTTTGGATACTCAATCTAGCCTTTTTGCGTAATGACTTTTCAAAATGACTTTTATCAGGCTTTTGAAGCCTATTCCCCTAAATAACAACTTGAAGAATCCTTTTTCATGTATTTTCTCCATTACAAATATCCTTATTATGTAGCAAATCAAGATTCCTCGTAATATTTTCGCTTATCGGCTTAAAAATGTTTTTTGAGTTCTATACTTGTTGCCATGAAAATATGATCCCCATGTTCATGGAAATATGGCTCCTATTACCATAGAAATATGGTCACAGTTGCCATGGAAGTATGGTTTGGGATATATGATCTCAATCATTATCCAAATTACACTCACCGTATTTGCTCGTTTTGTAGCCCACATTTTTTTAACCGAACTCACTAACCGGGCCCTTATTTAAACCGGCCCGCTTGTTATTTTTAAAGTAGGATTATACACAAAAATTACGTTATCTTTGAAGACAAATATTTGACGACATTAATCCTTTTTCATGTCAATTTATTCACGTCAAACGCAAATTATTCTTGTCTTAAGAGTAATTCCCTCATATTGAGATCCACGGTGTTACGCAATCAATGCTATCTGTTATGTAATGGACGCCTAAGGCGTGAGTGTTATCTACCAGCGCTTAAAATTCAACAGCGCTGTGACAAAAGCGCTTCTTATTTCCTATTGTTCTCTACCACTGAAAAATCAGCTTTTACATCGGAGGGGGGGGGGGTATTCAAGCACCGGCCCTTATTTATTTTTATGTTTTGTTCACACGGGCGGCTATTCAAACGGGCCCTTAATCAAGATCGGGCGGTAAAACGAGCATAAACGGTATGCTATAATTATTAAAATTCTCCCCACGATTTCTCATAATCTACAGATTTATCCACTCTTTTTTATATCTTATTATTCTTATTTTAAAAGCTTTAGATCAGGGGGTTCCCAAACCACGGCCCGTGGGCCAAATCCGGTTCGTTTATCGATTTTAAATGGCCCGCCGAGCTTAAGTGAAATGGTGTTCAACAGATTTTGTTTCTACCTTTTTGCGATCTAGATACCGCCAATTGTTATGTCATTATCACTGTTTAAGCACGTGTTTATCGTAACAATCCAATTATACCGGTATCTCAATCATTTGTACCGGTATTAGGATTACACAGGGCAGAAATTTAGTTATTATTCACATATGAAAGCTTAGAGGTGTCAAAAAGCAAACGGAAACTAGACGCTGAAAAGTTGTTCTTTGGTTAAAATATCAACGTTCGCATTTCTGCATTGAAGAGATGAGTCAAACAAACATGCTTTCTAAAAATGTCAAATGAAAGTTACCCCGGCTAAACCGTCGTGCACTTTCGGGTGCTACACTCTTCCGGCCCGCGAACATCCTTCCGATTGTAATTTTGGCCCTCAGCCGATAAAGTTTGGGAACCCCTGCTTTAGATGAAGCAGAATACTGTTGTATATAGTATAACATGGTGTTTGTTTATGTTTGTATTAAGTATTTCCCAGAATATTTCTAATTTAATTTGTTAAATTTCCTGAGGTTTCAAAGAATACTGGGGACTTGAAAACCCTGGCCCTATGCTGTGAGGGATATAATATACAATTTTAAGTTTATTAAATATTCTGGTCTTTCAAGTATGTCCATAAGTAACTTCTTGTGCAAAGTTAGGCACGTCATTAAAAGCTCATCAAAATATACTCAGCATATTCGGCTCCGATACACTAATTTTAAACAAGATATTTTTTGATGGATGGAAAAAACTTGAGTTCCATATCTAACCCTATTCAGGGGATAAACTTGACTGTAGCGAGAGCACTGTTAAATTCAATTTCCTCAAGGGTTTCAAAAATACTTAGAAAATAAATAAATACAATGTTATAATATCAAACATATTTAGTTTGAATATTTATCCATTTTTCATGTCTGTGCTTTCAATTCACAAATGAAGAAAATTTGACTTGATAATCTAAAATTTGTTTTCTTTATTTCAGACGGAATTAAAGTTGTTGTATGGTAGTTACTGTAAACTTTAATTTCTTATTTATTTCAAAACCTATACACGATTTAATTTATCACACAATTGTATTCTAGAAAATTTTCACGTTCAAGATTATTATATCGCAATTTAATACTGATACCACTCCCCTACTTTCCACAATTACCGGTATTCCCCCTCCCTATTTATGGGTCGTTTTTGTGGATGAAAATAAGTGAACATTGTTATATACCGTAACCTGTTATTTTATCAGCAAAAATCTTTGGAATAACGCAAGTTTGAAAATTTTATTTTCTACAAATTTGTTTTGCCTGTCAGTGGTATCGATCCAGATTTTCACCGGATATTTTTCAACTTCGAGGGGTAAACAAGCAAGACGAGTCTTTAAAAAAACAGGGATTAGAAAATCTTACAACATATTCAATTAAGTTTTCCACCGGGCTTATTCAGATTAACTTATTGCCTGACCCAATAACGATCTGCTTTCTACCAGGTAACTCTGGCAATATAAAGGAAACTGCGATACATAGGTTTATATACATAGATGGAATAGAGCAGGGCTACTCAACTATTTTTACCGAAGATCCGCATACAAAACTTCAAAAATATTTGGGTCCGGACTTTCCAGAAATTATATTTCGTCATCCCTAAACACGCACTTCCTCGACAGACTAATGATTATTAGCTACCGGTATATAAGATTGTTTATTATGGCGTTATTGTTCTTTTCATATATATTCAAAACTATAAAAGTGGGGCCAATGATCCAAAATGAAGAATTAGTCGCGGTCCGAATCGAATACCCGAAAAGTCCGAATTCGGACCGCCAGTTGAGTAGCCCTGGAATAGAGTACATGCTGGTCTCTTTAACATTTCACCTTGGGCTGTGCTGCCAGGTTCTACCTATGTAAGAGCGAATATTATATAGCGACTGAATATATTACGAATTTTTAATATTAGTACCTGCATGTTCTTGTTTAAAAGGAAGACATTCAAAACGCAACTTTGAGAAGAATCACTGTTAAAGTGTTTTTTCCCTTGAATGAGTGTTACCTGGCAACCATAGTTTGTCCCGAATTACATTTATCACTAAAAGTACCAGTTATGCAAACGTAGGTATTTAATGTGAAAATCTTGTGTTAAACCAGTGGTTCTCTAACTTTTTAAGCCGCGCCCCCTTTTTAGAATTTGTCAAGTCCCGCGCCCCACCTTAGAAATAACTAGGTAACAATAAACTACAAATAACAGATAGTAAGGCGAAAGTATATTTTATTAAAAAAAAACTTAAAAAACATGTGGATGTTATCACAATCTCTAAACAATAAAGAAAAGTAAATATCCAAAATAAGGCGAACAAGATCAAATCTAACAAATATTTCAATTTTTAATCAGCTTCACGCTTCCTTAAAAAATTGTCTACGGCCCCAAACTACCCCTCCGCACACTTGTGGGTGCCGCAACGTTTGAGAACCACTGTTTTAAAGACTCTTGTGTGTATATATATATATAGGAAGTAGATGTAATTGATGGAAATGCTCTTTAATTTTTTGGGGTGATATTTGCTGTTTTTACTATTTTTATGGCTGAAATAAAAGATGGTAAAAATTTATTTTTTGTGTGCTCATTTATTACTTATCGATCTTAAGATCGGTAAGTATGTTGATAGGTATTTGTCTGTTAGATGAACGCGATATCTCACAAAGGCGAGGTTGAATCTGCTCCAAATTTTGCATGAGCATTCATCATATCTCGGACCAGAAGCCTATTGATTTTGGATGAATTATGCCGTATAATTAGAGAGTTATTAATTAATTAGCGATGGTACACGCGGTGTCACTATAGAGTCATGCATCGAAACTGCAGTTTCGATCGATAAGTCTCCGACCGATATTCTCGTTTGTTTAAGGAGGAAAAATGGGTTAGGTGGTTCATTGATGGGCTTTGTCGTGGATGGCGAATGTGGTTTGAATACATTCAACTGTCGACGGGGCTGAGCAAATCGAATCAATTAATAGAGTGGAAGTGGTGACTCCTCTGCGACCCATGGGCCGAGGCCATCAGGCAATGGGCCGCGACCTATCGAGTTGTGTAAAGGGACTATTCACATGACTAACACAGACAGTCCCTGAACTCATAATAGAACTATAATGTGAAAAATCTGAACAAAATATTTTGTCCTAACCCTGACCTGGTACACATACTACAGGAGTACAATATTTTTTTTGGTTTAAATATTGACAATATTGTAAAAATTGAAAATTTTAGTAAGATAATTGAATTTTTCCTGATGGGCCACAACCCATGTGGCCCACTTAGATGGGCTGTGGCCCCGACCCATGGGCCTTAGAGGAGTCACCACTCCTGTAGAATTAATAAGGCCATATTTTCAAAACGATAATTCTGACATATGACTCCTATTGATGATACATCATGTGTGACAACCCAACAATTCTATTTTATATTTTCAGTAATTTTTGTGTATGGAGAACCAATTGCAGTTGAAAATATACATCTTTCCAGTATTTGATTTGAAATTTATTGACCAAAAACGCCAACATATTCATCTCTTCTCTGGACAAGCATAAAAATCCACAGCCACACAATTTCAGCCAAAGAGATTAAAATTTATAGCAATATACATTTCTGTAATCAACCATAGGCAT